TTCTTTCATCCTTTCTGTCCACTCCTTCTATTAGATATTTCCCTTCCGTCTTTTTGTGGCATGTGCTTTCGTGCCCTTTCAGTTTATTCAGCCTTCTCTATCATATTTGTATTTAGTTCTTTCTGTTCCATTTGACCGTTTTTTTCTTTTGTATATTTTGTCCCATTTGTTTCTACTATTGTATTCTTTCTGCCTTTTCCGCCTGTCCTAGCTTTCTCTCTTCTGTTTCTTCTCTAGCTCATCTCCTAACTGTTGATTTTGGCCCTTGCTTTCTGCCCTTTCTGTTCTTTTTCCGTATCTTTTCTGTTATCTTTCTTCCTGTTTTCTTTTCTTTGCCTTTTCTTCGAGCGCTTCGTACTCGGCCATTTCTTTCCGAGCTTCTTTCTGATTTATCTGATCTTTCATTTCATTTTCATTCTTTGTTACTTTTTCCTTGTGTAGTGTTTGTTTGTATTCTCATTTTTGATCATTGTATTTGAGTAGTTGTCATTTTACTTTCTTGATGCAGTTGGTCAATTTTGTCGATTGGATTGTTGTTCCCGGTCTCCATTCTCTCTCCCTGAATTCGTCCTCGTTTCCCGGTTTCCGGTTTCGATTCCTTTCACTGTTGATCATTTTATTCCTGTCCCCATTTCCGCTTTCGCGTTTTCCGTTCTATGCCAGTTTTCCATGCAGTTTCTGTTTCTGTTCCTCCTGCTGCTTTTGGCACTGCATTTGCCTGGCCCTTCCCTTGCCTCTGTCGTCGTCCCTATATCCCATCATCTACTTCGGTCTAAGCGTTGGTGTAGATTCAAGGTATTTGGTGTGAATATTGGATGCTCGTGTTTGACCTAGGTACCTAAAATATATCAAAAGCGAAAAGTAAGGGAAGCTTTTCATTATCTATTTAAGATATTAGTGTGAAGATTTTCCACTATTGAACTATTACACCGTGATAGGAATAAGTTGTCATATCGAAGGTATGGATTTACAAGTGGGGATAGCAATGCTCAGAATAAAAACTGTTTACTCGTCGTGTACTTTGTGATTTTTAAGAACATAGCACGGCCTATGAATTGTATCAATTTAATTCTCTTTGTATTTTTTTTTCAAAGACTCCGCCGCTATGAAAGCGGATGGAGTACGTAATCCCAAAAAATACTGGATAATCCGCCTTTTATATAACGCTCATCGACTTTTCTGTAGTCATTAGACAAAGCAAGCACTTTTTTATTTTTACCTTTGCAAATACCAAAAAGAAAATATTTCCTTAAATGAGTAATAATCGCGTGGGTAAATATATTCATCACGACCCCCGAAAACTATCTAAGGCGACGCTCTTAATTCAATTGTCTAATAAAAATTGGATTCGCGTTTTCGGCAAACATCCACGGAATGCGAGCCGGGGTCGTTGATATAATAAAATGAGCGCTTTGAATTCACAATGAAATTTCGCCGATCCCGGTGTACACGAAAAAAGAAATAATTGGAATTTAGAATTCTCGACTTAATAAATGGGCGTGACGAATTTCGCGCGCTTTACCGCATCGGCCGGCATTTTGTTTTGTTTGTTGTCCTTTTTGATTGCGTAATATAAGGAGGATGGAAAAAAAGTGGAAAAAAAAGAGTGGAGGCGTTAAGGGGCTTTCGGGCGTAATCCGCGTTTTATGTTAAGCTAACAAGGCAAGCCGAGATGTTTTGTGGATTTAGTAAAATGTTCAATCTTACAATTCGTGCTGACGTTTTAAATAAGTTTTCTTACAGCGCGCGGACACTTTTGAAGTGTAATTTGAGAATGGAATCTAATTCTCCAGCCATTTCATTCGAATCCGCGAAGATGGATTAAGTCTTTCGGCAAAAACCTGTATAAACGCAGTTACATCACATTGACATAACATGTTTATGTAACATACTACTGTGAAAGCACAATTTTTTTTATTTTTTTGGGACAGGTCGTTTTGTTTTTGCTTTATTTAATGTGATAAATCGTTTAAATTAAATGAAATCTACAGGTGTTTATTATATAAAATTGTGCAGTGTGATAAAAATGTATACAATTGATACGTTTGTGATCGTACGCGTTTTACTAAATATGGAAGCGGAACGAGATACCTAAGCGTTTTCGTAAAATGGAGCACCAAGAAAGCAATAGGTATTATATGCACGTTATCCCGCACGAGGTACAAGTTACCCGTCCCATGGGTTGTTTGAATCTTTGTTTTTGAAATTTACTTGGTTTAACCGCAATGCAGAATCATATGTGTGATACCGTTATGCTATTGTTTGTAAATGTTTACGTTTTTGGTGTAATGCTTGCTTAATTCATGTTTATTGGTGTTGATTACTTGGTCTTGTCCCTGAAGAAACATTCATGTAAGTTTTGATCATTTTATTTTAATATATGGAAATTACAGATTCGTTTGATGTATGTACTGACTTGTTGTTTATTACTAACAATTCCGCGAATGAAGCAGTCACGGGAGTGGTCAAAACTGTAACCATTTGAAGTACGACACCTAATTCCGTGATTGTCTTCGACATCCAATTGTAGGTTCGAAACCCCGAAACCAGGGGCGGGGTACCCATCTTGCAGGAGCGGGATTACGCTAATTAAAGCTCTTCAGTTTAGAATCTATGTGCGATAAATGAGTGGCGATTCAATAATTTCCACATTTCTTGTTTTTAGTTAAATTTGCCTACAAGGCCATGTAATTTTCCATCTTGCTTTTAACAAAAAGACTTTATTGCACCAAAGATGAGTCACATCCTGTACTCTTAACCCTTTGTTTAGGTACCTGCTCCTACCAGACCCATTATTCTCAAAAACTTGCTCCCTTAGCAGTTACTTTTGCGAGAGTACGACACCGTTTGGCTTTGCTTGCTTTGTTTATATTAATGTACATCAACTAAATTTCCGGGCTTTCACAATCTTAATAATTACGATAATTATTAAACAAACTTGTCACAATTTCAGTGTTTTATTTAACGTTTCTTCACTTCACTTCTTCACTTTTCAAATTTAAGCGGGATTTTGTTTAGTTTTGGAGGGAATAGCTTTTCGGGTGGCCATTTTTAAACGTTGCCGGGTTGACTTTATTTCCGTGTTCTTGTAGTATGAAGTTAGCGTAGAACCTGGGGGTTAAGTACACTACAACCTGTTTGCCTGTCCCCTCTCTTACCTCAAGGTTGGTTATGGAGGAACAACTTCGGTCGCTACCTCTTATCGCCCACTGTGTTTGCGCTGTTTCTCCTAACCTCATTTCTTACTTACTGACACCTATTTCTGCATACCCATTTTGTATACTTACTCCTTTTTCTTATCTACTACTCTACTCTACCTTTTACATTTTTACACTTCTATTTGCTGCCGCTTTCATCTAACTCTTCCCGCCACTTCTTTTCTTGTGCCAGTTGCTTTGCCTCTTTCAGGCTCCGAGGCCCCCACAGCCTCCCCTCCACTGCCTGCCGTGCGTCCGCTGCTCCCCTGGCCTCCTCCTCTATCGGACAGTGGAAAGGAACCACCGCACTCGCATTAATCTCTCCTTCCGATACGCGATCTCCTCTGCACCGGATGGTCGGAATTAGTGCCGCTCCCAACCTCCTTGTTTCTGCGGCTCGCCACCTCCTCTCTCATTTGCTCTTGCTTTCCTCCCTCAGACCGCTTTTGATCATTCTGACTGGTAGCTCGTCGAGGACCGCTTGTAGCGCCCCGTCCCTCGTCGCTTCCCAGGCCAGCTGTCGCTCGTTATCGGCGTGATCCCTGACCTAGTGGAACCTGATCCTGACACCTTCTCCAGTCGGTTCAGGGTGGTCCTCACTCCCGCGGTCAGTGTGATCGGGCGCTCCGTCGTACATACCGCTACCAGCGCCGCCTTCGAATCCTCGACCCCTTCCTTTCCTTCCCGCTGTTATGTACACCACAGCGCCCCTAAATCCCACGAGCTCGCCCTAGAACGCTCTGTACTTCCTGCACGTCCTAGTTTGTATTCTCGGCTGTTTATTTCTTTTGAAATTGGTTTTTAGTCTATAACTTTTGATTGAGAAGTCTGATCGAAAAAGTACGAATTGATTTGGATTCTACGCACCCAAATTAATACGAAAAAGTGTTTTCCCGAGAAATTTTGGTGTAGTCGATTTTTTGTAAAAAAGAAAGGCCTTTTTTTTGAGCCCCGAAAAAAAATTCTCAGATCGACCCGGAAAAAAATTTTCCACCACCATCGCCGCTCCCGTGCCCTCGTCTTGTTTATTAGCCTTATGACTACGGTGCACTTGTATGGTGGCCTCCATGCGCAGGGCAACCTACGGGGAGCAGCTGGGAGTCACTAGAGCCATGAAAACCACGCCAACTTTGGGCTTGGAGGCCCTTCTGGGGCTATACTGCATTCAATATAAGAAAGTAGTAGATGGCGCTGTGTTTAAAGGTAAGCGTACACAGGAAAAATGTAAAACGTAAAGTATAAAATATACAGCAGTGCGAACAAAAATAAATCAAACGATTTTTTTACGCTTGGATCTTTGACATTAACAACTAATGACAGTAGTTTAGTTGACAACAGAAACTACCAGCTTACAAAATTCGTCACTTGTTTTATTTTCAGCGCAATTTGAAACTTGTGTTTCAACCAATCACATTAAAAGTCAAAGCTTCCCTATGCTTTCTACTGTCTGTCACTGTGACGCTTTGATCAGAGACAGACATCAGCTCCTTGGCGACAGTGATCTGGAACCAGGGAGGATGAAAACTTAGGCTAAACAGGTTCCTATAATTTATTGAAAGGAACGAGCTCTGAACCTAGTTGTGAAAGAGAGAGGATAGACACAATGGGCCTTTGGTGTGCCTAAGTGCTTCCTGGTATAGCTCTCCTTATGAATAGATGGAAGAGAATGCTCTCTGGGTTACCGCTCCCACGTCTCCGTCTTTGTAAAGAATCTCACATTTTTAGTTTTTTAGCTATTGAATCTCCTTATATATAATTTTTGTTTCATCCTATATGAACGATCAAATTTGTTCATCACTTGTCGTAATTTTGTGTAGATGGCGCTTGCAAATCATAACCTAAAATAAAAATAGTTATAATGGAAAATAATCCTCAAGACTCTGAAATACAATCACTTCCACCCCCGACCAAGCATAATCAGCAACAAGTACGCATAAGTATGTTACCACTAGCACTTAACTGCCCTCTTCCAGTATCGATTCACACCAGAGGAGCTTCGTGTTCTGAAAGAGTGCAACCGGGAGAGCTTCTACCAGCGAAGCCTGCCGCTGTGCGCATTATTAAGCGGCGGTATTTACTACGGTGTCAAAACAGGTACTGCACGTCGTCCCAACCGAACGTTTACAAGAATCTTTTTAAGGCCTCCTTAAGGGACATCCGAGATATGGCGCGACACCGAAAATCATCGCGGCCGTTGCGATTGGATACTTCGCCGGAAAGTTCTCGTATCAACGCCGATGTGCCGAAAAACTAATGCAATTGCCGAACAGTCCGATCGCGGAAATGCTACGGCAGAGACGAAGAGGCCACGTTCAAGAAACGTACGTTAATCGCACGCACGAATGTTACTAACGAAAATGTTTTTAGTGTAGAGCCCGGATACGGGCCGGCCATGTCGATGGGGCCATTTAGTGGTTTCGGCTCGTCCTATAGCGACCTCAACCCTGAGAGGAATATAGATATTGATACGAATCGACCAGATGTCGACGGTTTGAATGACTCATTTCGACCATCGCTCGATAGTAAGTTGAATACTTAAGTGCTTCCGTTAACCCTTGCTTTTAGATCAGGTTTATGAGGAGGAGGAAATGCCGCCTATGCAGAAGCACACGACTACTTACGACGAATTGAGAAAACGTAATAGGGAGGAGTATCAACAGGCACGGATGCCTAACATTAGGTATGTTGTGCAATTGATTTTAATGTCTTTTTGTAAGCCGAGCTTTTTGTAGACCATCGGAGAGCCCTCATCGGATGGCTCCCTCGCCTCCTAGAAGTGACGGTCATACAAGTAGGACTAATAAATATGGTGATACCATGGAATAGAAATTGATAAACATTTTAGTCTTGTTGGATGTTTTTTTTCTTTGGCTTATTATTTTGTTTGCCTACAATTGTTTTAAATAAAGAATGTATGGAAATAAGGTTCATTGTCTCGGATGAAATTATCATCCTTTCAGTTTCTCATCAAAATTATTATATGTATCAACAGGGCTTTCAGTTCAAAACGACTATCCATTGAGGTTTTCGCCACCTGTGCCACTTTTTGTAAAACTTTAATTTAATACCACAAACACAAACAATGTAGCTACATATTTTGTTTCTGAAATACAGGGTAAACACGAAAAGTGACTTTTTGGGATGTTATCCTATCTTGTACTATACCTGCCTACCTTAGATCATACATATATTTTAAGCTATACATTTAAGATACAAAACCCCATTCTATATATTTTTGCCTAGAATCCAGTGGCGTAGTAAAAATAAATTTTTACAACCGTTTTTGAGATATGACCCAAAAATGGTATTTTTTAAATGCGACACTGTATATTGAACAGAGAATAACAAGTCTCTGATATTGAAAGGTTCCACCGTGTATATACCAGAGACATGGAGAGGGGAGATCGGTGATCGACGAGTGCGCATCCAAGAAAGGGTGCGACCTTATGGGCGCTGCCATTTTTACACCCTTTGTGTCATGTTGTGTTTATAGTGGTGTTATTTTAGCGTGTGTTCGTGTTTAGGAGAGCTTTTTTCGAGGTTTAAGTGTTTATTTTGTAACGTCAACGTCACTGGCATTTTCTTTTGTTCATTTGGATTGAGATATTAGTTTCTTCCTACGGAGCTGCTGCCGAATAGAGTGTAGTGTATGAAGATTGCGTTAGATGTCTCTGGGTTGCGTCAGTAAACCTTTATAGTCCTGTTCAAATTTCGCGCTTCAATGGGTGTCAAAATGGCAGCCCCCTTGTTTTGTAACTTCGCGCAGTTTCATGCGTTATCTCCCCTCTCCATGTCTCTGGTATATACACTTGCTGCGATACATAAATTTTTGACAGTTGGCAACCATGCAATTTCTAGGTGGGAAAAAGCCTTAGATCATGTTTATATGATCTAATAAGCGATCGAAAAACAATTACGAATGCAAAACCTGTTCGAATATGACATTGGTATGCAAAGACGGTACGGCCAAAACAGATGGAAAAAGCTGCCTGCGCCATCTAAAAAGCTCGAACGGTGGCTACGTTGATCATCGTGTATTGAATGGCGGTCGTGAACAAGGTTATTTTATTTCAGGTCGTGAACGCGTCGCTCCATAAATGTTTGTTGTTATTTTGTGTTATTTAATGCAGGTAGTAATTTTTGCATTGCTTTATATCGAATTTGTGTTTTGTATGCCGCATTTTATATTTTTTGTGTGTTTCAATCGTTGATTTTGAAATTATTACTTTGATTTAACCGCAATGCAGAATGACATGTTAAATACCGTTATGCTATTGTTTGTAATTGTTTACTTTTTTGGTGTAATGCTTGCTTAATTTATGGTTATTGATGTTGATTACTTAATTGGTCTTGTCCGTGAAGTAACATTCATATAAGTCTTAATCGTTAATCATTTTATTTTAATATGTGGAAATTATCGATTCGTTTGATGTATGTACTGACTTGTTGTTTCTTACTAACAATTTTCTCCGTGAATGAAGCAGTCACGGGGGTGGAAAAAACTGTAGTCAAAATTGAGATACGACACCTAATTCCGTGATTGTCTTCGACATTCAACTGTAGGCTCGAAAGCCCGAACGAGGGGCGACGCTACCTATCTTGCGGGGGCGAAATTACGCCAATCAAAGCTCTTCAGTTTAGAATCTATGTGCGATAAATCCTTTTTCGTGATTACATTGATGTGCCTAATTTTTTTAACACTTACCTGTACCTATCTCAGAATCAAACGTTTGATTATGTTTGTGGCATTAATAAGTTTCACATAAAAATCGCGCAGGGCCGCGAAAACCCCAAATCACTGTCAGCTGAAACACACCGCAGCCTCAACCAAAATAGAACACAGGGTACAACATATTGTGTAAACAACATCAGGTATACACTTAATTATTAAAGTGATATATTTTAGTTGCATAAAGTATTTAAGTATCTCAATAACAATGCAGTACAAAACTCCCACAAATGTAAATAATGTACAATAAATATAATTCAATCGTTATAACAATTTCTAAGGCTATCAATCACTCATGCTCTTGTCCTTCTGGGAAGTTTGTATCGGATCTCTCAATTTCGCGAAACCGGAAATGAGATTCAAATAAAAACATTTGGTTACGCTATTTTCTAAACAAAATTGTACTGTTCACATTACGCATTAAGGTCCATTGTGACAAATTCTAACATGCCTGTTAAAATTGGTCTTCAGTCTTCCGATGTAATTGCACTGGTTACATTTAAATCCTGCAACACCGATATCGCAACTGCTAACGTGTGCGGCAAATCGCCACTTCTTATTCGTGACATAGTTACACACTTCACACACCAACAAGCCCTTGTGGCTCTCCAGGTGCGAGGAGAGAGAGTGCTTCGAGGTCGCCGTAAAACTGCACAGTTCACATTCGAACGTACGATGGCACTCTCTCATGTGTCGAGTGATGCGATGGTCCCATCTCGTGATGAAATTGCAATGTTCACATTTAATTTGCGGTAGGTAATCGCACATGCCGACGTGCGCCAGGTACCTATGTTTGAACGGCGTTCCGTAATAGCACCGCCCACAGCTGAATCGTTTCGATTTACGATAGATATTTTTCGGTTTAGTGTCGCGCGGAAATTCGGACTTGGGTTGTCGCAGTTCACTTTGGTCGACTGCTTCGACCTCCTGCTCTATCTCGACCTCTTCCTGCTTTACTTCGAGGACCGTGGGGACACTTACTTCGCCATCGTCGTAGTCTTCTGGTTCAATTTTTATATCAAAGGTTTCTTGTGTTTGGTTTGAAATAATTGAACTCATAATGGAAAACAAACAAATATAGGCAGTCTTGAAAGTCGTGTCTAATGAACCGTTAAAGTACCGTAGTAAGTTCAACCGGTGTCTATCTCAGAGACACTAACGCGATATGTAGGATGAACACAGCTTTACTGATAGTAAGCTGTGGGATGAATACCAATGCAAGAGGCACTAATAATAAATATCTTGAAATCTGTAGAAGTACAGGTAGTTAGGACACGAACAGACAGACAGAAAAAGAAGCTGAACTCTGGGAATTCTTGAGACAAGTGGCGTTTTAGAACCAGCTGATTCTATCCATTCCATTCAAATGTTTGAAACGTGAAGGAGAATTAAGATTGTTTTAGAACCCTTTTAGTTTAGAGCAATGAATAAAGGTTTAGAGCTATAACGCCCTCTATGATAAATTTCATGTATCTTCCAGTTTTCTACAACTTTTAAAAACTATTTACTAAAAGGTTCTCGGCAGTATTTAAGAGTCTCTAAGTGTGTTCAAGAGATTTCAAGAGCATCCAAGCCAAGTTTCAAGTATATTTGAAAGCCTTTTAAGAGCTTTCAAAAATAGTTAACAGTCTCTAAAGGCTTCTATGAGTTTATAAAAGTCTCACAAAAGCTTTTAGAGTAGTCATTTAAGAGCTTTTGAGTCATCCGTAGTTTTCTCCAAAGATTTTCAATGGTCCCTTCTTCCTAGAGGTTGTGAAAACCTTTAATTGGCTCTTAAGTCTCTAAAAGGTACTTAAAAGGATTTAAAAACCTTATTTGCGTTTTAAAAGCTGTTATGGGTTATTTGCAAGACCCTCATACAATTTCCAAGGATCTTACAGGGACTTTTAAAGTTAAAATTCTCACCTATGTTTAATAATCAATCCTTTAACTAGAGTTTCACCTCTGAGGCATGTAACAATGGGTCCTCGTCCCAACCTATATAGTAGAGATTTGTGATCGCCTCATTCACGCCAAAAGTGTTAGGTTACAAACAACAAGTCCATACTCACATATGAAACCCTTCCATAGTTTCCAAATGTTTAAAAGAATGATCAAAATTAAGATATTTATCTTGAACCAAGAACCATGGTAATCAAAACAGCAACAAAAATTTATGGCTTTGTTTACCTTTTTTAACAATTTTTTTTTTCTTTGAGATTTATATTTTTTTCATTCAAACATTTACACCAAAAATGAACATGGTTTCCAACAATAAAAGATAACGGTATCTTTGGGATGTCTTGTCATTTTCCCTGATATCCAGTCTGTTCAAACAGGCTCAGGACACAAGTCAAAATATCATACAACATAATTTGGAGCTTTTATTAATTGGATTGAAGTTTTAAAATTGGAAAATTACTTTACATCCCATAATAAATAATTACCTTAAAATTATAATTTAAAATGTGCACCCTATGCATTTCTTTAGCTCTATGAACCATCCAACAAAAAATTAAATTACAAACATAATTGATACGCAAATAAACCACATGCATTTACATAACATGATGCTTTCCTTTAATTGCGCGATCACATTTTGTACATTTATACTCCGTAGAAGCATGATGCGCCTCCACATGCACGACTAAATTATGCTTCCATTTTGTGACAAAATTGCACTGCCGACACTTAAGGTCGGACCACGGCTGATGAGACTTTAAATGAGAAATCATAGCTCGTTTATGCTGGGCCATAAAATCGCAATGTTCACATTTAAACTCGACCATACCGTGAAAATCATCGACATGCCTGATCAAGCTGGCCTTCCAGTTGGTTTTGTAACTGCACTGTTCACACACGAAACCGGCGGAAGTTTTGTGCAGCCGCACGTGCACGATCAGTTTGTGATTTGACTGCGTCGTATAACTGCACTGGCCACATTTAAATTGGGTGGAATTGTGGCAGACTTTCGTATGTTGAAAGAAATCCTGCTTCCTTCTCAGGACAAGGCCACACTTTTCACATTGAAATTCGGCAGAAGCGTGATGCACCCTGACGTGAGCAACTAAACTGTGATTCCATTTCGTCGAGTAGTTGCACTGCTTGCATTTCAAATAATTAGAATCTATAGCCAAAGCGTGAACGGATCTTAGATGCTCGAGTAAATCGTACTTATGCTTGGTGGTATGATCGCATTGTGCACATTGAAATTGTGTCGTAGTGTGATGCGCTTCCACGTGGGGAGCCAAATTAATCTTACGCTTGGTTATGTAACGGCAATACTTGCATTTAAATTCTCCAGAGTCGTGGTGCGCTTCACAATGTAAATACAAGTTGTACCTCCACCGGCTCATGTAGTTGCATTGTTCGCATTTAAACCCTCGTTTCTTCTGTCGAGATCCCTGAACCTGTTGACGCTTACTTAAAGCAGGTTTGACTACGGGCAAACTACAGATGCAGTATTGTTGGGCGATACTTGGGCTTAGTTTAACTTGACACTTGGGTTCTACCTTCACGACTTCCACATACAGTGAGCCGGGTGGAGGTGGATCAGTCTCTACATCTGTGCTTCCATCATCTGGGTCAATGTGAACAACTGCTTGCATTTTTGCGGTTTCAAACAACAATTACTACCCAAAAGACTAGAAAATCACTGGTTAACGACGCGGCTAAAATAATTTTAGGTTATTTTAGGTTTAGAGTGCCACAGCTGCCCCTACACTTTACAGCGTTGCCAAGTATGTGGCCTTTCAATGTACAGGGTGAGTCAACGATTGCGCGTAGTAACTTAATGCTTTGAAGATAAGATTTTTCATTAGAGTGCTTTGTATTATGATAATAACTATAATAATGTTGAATATTCTCCACATTTTAAAAATGTTTGCAATTATACAGGTTGCGCTCACAAAGTAGGGCGCTAAAATGGTACATTTTTTTTAAATTGAACCCCCTGTATTTGAATGCATATTTTATTCAACAAGTCAAGTGATTGTACGACTTTTGTATTATATGGTTAATATCCGAAAAATTATAATAAACATGGAAAATCGCATGGCCTTGGAGGGAAAATTCGACGTTAACAAAATGTGTGGAAATTAGTGGATCGCAACTCATATAGAGTGTGTCCCAGGTAGAATGCACCATAGGGGCAATATATTTTTTCGCGAAAAATCCAACGAAGCCTTTGAAAGTAGCGCTTAAAGTACTACCCTAATCTCTTTCTAGCATCAGGCAAGGGCAATAACGTATGTTGAACGCTAATTTCAAATCATCTCAAAGAGATCCTGGATCCTTGGGGAATTTATTTTTGAACCAGTTATATATTAATTTTTAAAGTACCCTCGAAAACGAGAGGAAATATACGATTTTGTTAAGGATAAAACATTCAATTGAATTCAATATTTATAAATGAAAAAAATGATTATTTCTTTATTTTTAAAAATTACTTCAAATCTACAGGAGTTTCGCAATTAAACAAATCTACTATTAATTCTAATTATCTTGTAACAGCTTGGGGACAAAAAATCTTGGAGCAAGAGGTAAAATAGATAACATATTACCTGCTATTTTGTTACGTTAGATGAGATCTCACATGCATATTCTACAAATAAAGCACCTCTTCCGCATTTCAAGGGGAATACATTATTAACACACATTATGGAAAGTGATAACTATTAAAAAGTTAACATTTTAAATGTTATTAGTGTAAGTTAGTTCTTTGTAAAAACAGTTTGTGTCTTGAAAGGTGTTTTTTAAGACAGGCTCTGTTATGTGTCTCATAATCGCAATGAGCACATTTAAAATCTTTAGAAACTTTATGTTTTAAAAGGTGTTGTTTAAAGCAGCGTTTGTTATTTGTCTCGTAAATACAATTAGCACATTTAAAATCTTTAGAATCAGTATGATTGGAAAGGTGTTGATAAAAGTAGTGTTTGGTATTTGTCTGATAATCACAATTAGCACAATTTAGCACATTTACATTACTAGATTGTTTGTGTGTTAAAATGTGTCCTTTAAGATGTTGTTTATAATTAGTCCCATAATCACAATGAGCACAATTAAAGTCTTTAGAATCGGCATGTGCTAAAAGGTGGCGTTTAAAACAGTATTTAAGATTTGTTTGGTAGTCACAATTAACACATTTGAAATCTTTAGAATCGATATGTTTTAGGAGATGTCGTTTAAGATATTGTTCATTATTTGTTCCATAATCACAATGACCACATTTAAAATCTTTAGAATTGGTATGTTTTGAAACGTGTTTTTTTAATAGGTATTTGTTATTGGTCTCGTAATCACAATCCGTACATTTAAATTCTTTAAAAACGGTATGATTTAAAAGGTGTTGTTTTAAGTAGTATTTGATATTGGTCTGGTAAACACAATTAGTGCATTTCAAAACTTTAGACTCTTTATGTGTTAAAAGGTGGCGTTTAAAGTAGTATTTAACATTTGTTTGATAATCACAACTAGCACATTTAAAATCTTTAGACTTGACGTGATTTAAAAGGTGTCGCTTAAGATTTTGTTTATTATTTGTTCCATAATCACAATCATCACATTTTAAAACTTTAGAATCATTATGTGTTAAAAGGTGGCGTGTAAAGCAGTATTTATTATTTGTCTGGTAATCACAATTACCACATTTAAATTCTTTAGAATCGGTATGGGTTAAAACGTGTCGTTTAAAGTGGGATTTGTTATGTGTCTCATAATCACAATTAGCACATTTAAAATCTTTAGAAGCAGTATGATTTAAAAGGTGTTGTTTAATATATCGTTTACTTTTTGTTTCATATTCACAATGAACACATTTAAAGCTTTCTAAAACATTTTGCTTTAAAAGATGTTGCTTAACTTGTAGCTTACTATTTGTTGTGTGTTGACCGAAGTCACATTCAAAATCGTTCCAAATTTCAGTTTTAATACTCCATCCACAATCTGTTTGTTGTAATTTTTCATTATCGAGCGATTTCGAGCACTGTGCAGTAATTGTAAATTGATCCTTTATTGTAACCAATGTTTCATTGCTTACTAAAATGTTTCCTTGAAGTTTGGAATGGATTTCTTCTTCTTGTTTTGGTTCGATTTTAATGAGAGGTATAACATTTCCGTCCATATCTAGCAATCAAAACGTTATCAAAAAAACAAAACAATACAAATTTGTAACCACAGTCGAGGTGCAAAACAGATAGCCTCTCATGTCCAGTGGCGGAGCCTTGGGTATTATTTTGTACTGTACCCACAATTACATTAATTACGTATAGGTCAAACAATCTTCGCCTGATGTCCGTAACACCTATACATTTGAGCTATATTGCTGCATAATAGGCCTGGACGATGCTACTTTTTAGATAAGTTTACGATGCGACTTTTTATACAGGGCATCGAAAAAGATCGAGACTTACATAGATATAGAAAAATTAGAGCACGTCCAGGTACATCTCTTACACATTTATTTAGCTACGGTTAATTGCACTTACTTAATTGGCCGGAATGGAATTTCTAAATTCATAATTCTAACACCCATTGTCTCAGGTTCGCAAAAGGTCTCTTATCTAACTGATATCGGCGTAATACTGCATGACCTTGCAGTTTTAATGCTCGTTTTAAATTACCATAGGAAACAAGAATTTGCTAATTACTTAGGGGGACTGAAATCCTAAAATATTAATTGGACCTCGTCTTCTAAATGACAAGAGCTTTCGGATAGTTATTTGTATTAAAAGTCCAGAAAATGAGTATGAGTAACCTTGCAATTACGAGTACTCACCACCCTTTTTATGAACGTACGATACACAAGATTTTTTATGCCGAGGCAGTTAAAACATTTGAATGGAAAAGTTTAAAGGTTCATCTTGAAATTTATATTTTGTGTCTAAATAAGAAAGTTCACATTGCGCAGTCTGCACATGCGCACATCTGATTTTGACAATATGCGATATGCTTATCTTTACTAGAATAATCTTTTTTTAAATTTCTAAAAAACTGTAGGCGTAGTTAAGGCCTCGGACGGACAGACGGACGGACGGATGAAGCGGCCACAATAGCGCCCTTCCAACATGAGCTGAAGAATTAAATCGCTAAGCAATGGTTTCTACAGTCACTTGAATTGAATATCTCTAGTTAAACATTGGGCGCTTGTTAAAAAGTGCCTGCAGTCTAATTTTTTTCCTCATTAATGTATTATGGTGGCTTTATACAATCATTCTCATTAGTTCACTATCAAAAATCATAAGAAATAGCCAATAGATACAAAGGCGTATTGCGCGTTGCTAACCAACGAAACCTGAGCTTATCCAACTAATGATACTGAACTGAAGCATAATTTTTCAAAATACTTTTCATACATGCAGAGATTCTATAACATCTCTTCTTTTTCTATGTGGTTTGTGGTCCACTTACCTCTACGGCCTTGTGGCATATTAAAAACACAAACATAAACAAGCTAGTCTATTTTTTTGCACAATCTTTAAGTTGTGGTTTATGGTTTAACACAAACTGGTAACGGTCAGTTTTCGTAAAGTCACTAGTGACTTTAAGTTTTCGAACTCTTTAAATACCCCCGTACCGCACGCACTCCCCGCCTATGGTCGAAGCTACCCGTTCTGCTCGGTCAAGTATTTTGAAAAATTGTGCTTCAGTGATGAACTACAAACAGAAAAGCTTTCGATTAGTCTCTGGGGATTTAATGCCGCTTATAGGATGTACTTTTGAGATAATTTAAAAGTATTCGCCATTTTCTAACCTCACTTTTCCAGTTGGCACATTTCAAATTCGCGGACAGCAATTAATCAAGGATGTTTTAAGCTGGGCCTTATCCGCAGGTTACAGGTCTATAGGTACGTAATCTTCCGGCTATTAACGCGTTAAAGATTAAGTTGTAGATACGGCGGCGGTCTACGGTAACGAGCACGATATCGGACTGGCACTCAAAGATTTGCTACCGATACACAATTTGAAACGAGAAGACATTTTCATTACCTCTAAACTTTGTAAGTCGTACCATTTTGTGTCGGCTCTCCTCATATTTGTTGGTAGCACCCGGCGACCAGGGAGACGGGGCACGTGACGCAGTCGCTAAATCGATCGAGAACTTACAGTGCGGCTACCTGGATTTGTACTTGGTGCATTGGCCGGGTGTTTCCGGCGTGCCGACCGATAGTGACGTTAATGCCAAGCGACGCGCTGCTAGCTGGCGATCGCTAGTCAGGGCCAAAGAGGAAGGTCTCGTACGAAATATTGGCGTCTCGAATTATATGGTGAATCATTTGACGGAGCTTTTGGCCGATTGTGGTGGAGTTAAACCGTCTGTTAATCAGGTGAGGTATTGAAATTTTGCCCCAGACTTCCTAACCAGGCGAGAACAAATTTTGAAATTGCAATAACGGGATTCCCAATTGTTCCTCTTTTCCATGGACCAATTTTATTTTAAGTTACGCTAAACTTGTCAATTTTTTCCCGAGAAGAAAATAAAATTGTGTCGCATATCTGTAATTAAAATAACATCACGTCATAAAGGTAAGTAGCATTAAATCTGTGGACTTTTTGACGCGAATTGCGACTAACTTGTAGTTAGCGGAATCAAAATTTAAAAAATTATATCAAAAGAAAAATAAATTTACAAATGATCGTAATAAAATCATACCAGCGGGCGAAAGTAGCGGCATTCGGCGGCAACCTGGATGTGATGTCGGCGGAACGAACGGACTCGAGCGCCACCAGAAGAATAAAACCTTGCTTCTGGGCAAGGTCGGCGGATTTGGAACGGTCTCGGTGGTTTGTTTGAAATTGTTTGAAAAATAAATTAATCGATATGATTTTCGGACGAAATAGAGAAAAATTGCCTTTTTTTGCATGGCCACCTCACTATTATGTAAATGACATAAATGACTTATTTAAGATTAGAATATAAAAACCAGGAAAACCAAGATATTTCGAAAACTATCAGAGATAGGTATAGGACATTATTATCAAAAGTTGAAGGTTTTTGGAGGAGCTAAAAGATGACAGAAAAATATACAGGGTGTTCCATTTAAAAAAAGTGAGATTTTTTAATATGAAGTTTTGTAACTGGATCTAGAAAAAAAACACCCTGTAAGCTATTTTTTTTTATGTTTTATAGTAGATGTATTTATTTGACTTTTACTGAACCCAGGATAAAAGATATAAAACCAGGAATCAAAATTTAAGTAATAATTTTGACAATATATAGTGACGCTTGCAAATGCCCAATTTTATCTTTAAAACTACTAGCTCTTCGGATATTAACGATATAATAAAAAAGACGTACAATTACACGTAGAATTCAAAAATGCATTCAAATGCGGAGGGTTCTATTTAAAAAAAATGTACCATTTGGGCGCCCTACTTTGTGGGCGCACCCTGTATAATTCCAAATATTTTTAAAATGTGGAGAATATTCAACCATATCATAATACAAAAGCACTCTTATCGAAAAATCTTATCTTCAAGGCACAAGTTACTCCGCGCAATCGTTGACTCACCCTGTACTTTACTTCCAAGATTTTTTCCTTTAAACAAGTATTTCGGGAGAAATATAATGGTAGTGAATACCTATTTTGCATAGTTCTACGTTTTTCCAAAGATCGACATTTTTCTATTAAATTGGATGTATGATTGAAAAAGTGATTGGCCGTGGTAAACGGAGAGGGACGGGCCTTCCGGAGGAGCTCGAGCTATGCCGAACGGCTTAGGTAAAAAATGCGGTCCGTCGTCGTTGTGAGACAGGCGAGCTCGAGCTATGCCGAGCTCGCTTTCAGCTTGCTCGCCAAAGGTATGCACTTCGAATTTTGTAACGGGAGCCCGGAATTCGGGCGAGAGGTTGAATTAGTGGTATGAACTCTGTATTTTGTGACCGGAATCGTGTAACGCTCCAGAATTTCAGGCGAGCGGTTGATTTATGCCGATCTCGCCTTAAGCTTGCTCGGAATTGGTATGAATTCTGTGTTTTGTACCAAAAATCGGCAGGTGGAATTTTGATTCGGAGATAGTATGCCATTTCAAATGTAATTAGCTACTTTTGAAGCTGTATTTAGCCATTACACTCCACAAAAATAAGATTACAGTTCTCTCGTAGTAAATATAAACATTCAGAAGAAAGTGAGGTTATAATCTCATAACCAATTAGAACTACTCCATACAGCACTACCAACTATATAGAAAGATGTCTCAGGACATACAGGCTCCAAATGTAAATATTATCAAGTTGTTAAGTTCGTATTAAAATACGAACTTTTTTTCCTGTAATTTTAGGTATTGTTAATTCTATTAAGGATTTGCCTTCAGTGAACTCCGTAGAACGTAGTTTACGCTGTACGTTTAAAGAGGGAAATTCACGTAAAATCTCCACGATGCGCCGACATAGCGTATCGCTGTTTTTGGCGCTAAAAAGCGTCGCGGATTATTTTATCCTACCGTAAAGCTCATATTGACGCTCCGTAAAGACAATTTCGTCAGTTTCTCGCGTTCGTTCCTCGTGTCTTCGCAAAAATAGCGCTGCGACCGCGGACCCACCTTCGTTTTTCTCAATATGGACTCGTCCGTCACTTTGACGTTCATTTTTTTAAAATGGCGGAAAATTCTCATAGCCTCACCGCGTCAGGAAACGTACCTTTAATTCGAACTTCGACGGCTCATGCTCCGCACATAGGTATATACAGGGAAAGGCGAAATAGTGTACAGGGCGTGCTAAGGATAATTTTTTGAAGGAATCACTGAAGGAACGAATTTTTGTTGGGGGACACAACGCACGCATTCTTATTCTTTGCCTTAGACTGCGCTTATTGAAAAAGAGGAATTATAAGAGAATGTTGTAGGTCGAATGGCACCCGAGCTGTCATCCATACGACCTCAAGCAGCTGTGTGACAAAGAGGGTATATTACTGCAAGCGTATTCGTCACTCGGCGGAACCGGCAATAAGAATTTACTAAAAGACCCCACCGTCATTAGCATCGCACTGAAGTTAGGCAAAAGTCCCGCACAGGTAAGTGCGTAATTACGTTAGCGTTACTATGAGACTGCCTTCCAGATTCTTCTGTGTTGGGCTCTCCAGCAGAACGTCGCGATTATACCGAAAGCGAGAGCGAAAGAGCGTATCGACTCGAATATCGATTTAAACTTCGCCATCGCCGACGAGGATATGGCCCTTTTGAGTAGTCGAAAAGCAGAACGTTACGCTTGGAATCCGACCACTGTTGTTTAAATGTCGCACGATCGTATCGCCTCGTTATCCATTGAACATTTTAATCGTCTCCCGAAAATGGGCAAGCCAAGTGTAAATACCGAATGGACTGTACTTTGCTGTATCGTTAAGGAAAACACGCTCGACGATAATTTCGAGGTGGTTTCTCTCGGTACCGGATCTAAGTGTATCGGTAAATCGAAGATGTCCGCGACCGGCGACGTATTAAATGATTCGCACGCGGAGGTCGTATGTCGGCGAGCTTTTTTGTGTTACGTTTATGAACAAATTAATCTCGGTACAAGTGATGTGTTCACTTTGGAATTGGGAGAGTGCTCTCTTAACAGTTTTATTAAGTTTCATTTTTTCACCACGCACGTTCCGTGCGGGGACGCGGCGATATTCCCGAAACAGGATGCGACGGAGTTCGGAACCGTCGTCGCTGATGAGTACGTGCATGACGCGAAGAAGCCGAGATTGGACGATATTTATCGAACCGGGGCCAAGTCCATTCCAGGTGGTGGCCAAGATTCACATTTGCAAGGTGCCGAGTACCATGCTTTGGGAGTGGTGCGCACTAAACCAGGTACGTGCCCCCTACCAAAAAACGCAAACTGATCTGATTTTAGGAAGAGGTGATCCTACCTTATCGGTTTCATGTAGTGATAAACTAGCCAAATGGTACCACTTGGGTATACAGGGCGCTCTTTTATCGTTACTTTTAGTCCATCCAATTTACCTGAGCAGTTTTACAATTGCGAACGGCACACCTTTCGACGAGAAGTCCTTACTGAGAGCTCTGTACGGACGGTTCGGCGAAGACGCGGAACGTGCCGTAATTGGCCGGTCGTCGATCAATTTCTCGTTTGCGAAGGACGTCTCGAAAAGGCCGTGTCCCGCGAGCATCGTTTGGTTTAAATGCTCGACTGGGTGAGTGGCAGCCCACTTTGACCTTGAGATCTGGGCATGCGTCATTCGGTCTACGCCATCTTTGATTTTGTTTAATCTTAGATCGCACGAAGTCGCCATCGAGGGACTTAAACAGGGCGTCACGAAGAAAAATCGACATGCCAGAAGTGCGCGGCTGCAGATTTGCAAAATTGAAATGTTCAGGCGGTTTCTGACTGCTGCGGAATTCTTGCGTCTACCCTCGTGTAAGAATTTCGTATTTTACGATGACGCCAAGGCTGACGCGAAGGATTACCAACGTAAATGGGCGGCTCTTAAAGTGGACAAATTCAAAAGTTGGACTTCTAAGGACGGAAAGTTGCAGCACTTTGTGCTAGATTAATTGTATTATTTATTATAAAAATAAAATGTTAAGAGAGCATTATTAATGTATAATACTGTATATAGCAGAGACGTTTTATAAAAGATGTGTTTTTGTACAACTACAACCACTTCTTGGCGGAGAAGACTGATTAAAAGGAGCAGGGAAAATTCAACGTTTAAACTGCGGATTTAAAAAAGTTTTTTGTTAGCAGGATCACATTCCCAGGGACGGAGAACTAGTCCTTCGTTCGGGAAATTCCGCTGTAGAGGTGAGATTCGAGATCAACCAGTTTTAGATGTCGTAGCTATTTTGGTTATAGTATTCCCATCACTTAATATGCGTGTGTGTATGTATGATGGTCTACTTTAACTGGTAAGCGAGGCTGGAGTAGAGCCACACCAGTTTGATGTCTTTCTATGCACATGCAATTTATCATTTTACTAGTTGATTGATTGTACATGCGTTTAATCGGTTTTTGTACTAAATTGATTATCACGTTTTGGACTTGCATTTATGATGTCTGTGTGTTTTGTTTTTATGAATTTAATTCGATTACTTCATTTTTATTGTACAGGGTGGCCAACTAAGAATGCGAGGTACTGTATCTGAGAATCTATCCATCGTAGAGGCTTGCGTAAAAAAAATTATTACTAAAACGGCCACGAGAAAAACTTGGAAAATATTTTTAAGTTTTTGAAATGATCGCTAGGGGGCGTAACTGCAATCTGGAATCTAAAAAAGTGATGTTTCTGTGAATTCCGCTATATTAACCTAACAAAAAAATACCCGGTCTTTGAAGTCGGCGATAATCTGAACAATTTTTGTTTGACAATTTTTCCTGTATCTCTAAAAATGAAGTGGTGGGGGGTATTCAAAGGTTTCCGTAAAGAACACCCTGTATCTTCGAAACGGCTGAGCCGATTTAAACAAACTCGGATTCAAAAGAGCTATTCTTCAGCTACAAATATTATACTATTTGAGTTTTGTTAGTTTCACAAATCACCGCTTGAGGGCTTTTTTCGACATTCCGACAGAAATGGTTAATTTTCTCAAAAAAATTAAATGCGTTGGTTTGATTTTTTTTCATGAAAAAGTAGCTAAATGATGCCTAAACAAGTTCGCGAAAACAGCATCTCGATATCTTAAGATACATTTATTTTTATATCGTGGTGGCCAGCATTTCGAGCATTTACGGCGGCATTAAAAGCTTCCTTTTTTAAATCGATCCACCTTAGGGCCACAAATTATATAATAAAAATAATTCCGAAAAAAATTATCTTAAAAAAATAAAATTTTGAGGGTATAAAATTTTCTTTGGCCTAAATTTTAGGTTAGGAACAAGATATCGAGATGCGGTTTTCGCAAGCTTGTTTAGGCATCATTTAGCGACTTTTTCATGAAAAAAAAATCGAACCAGTGCATTTAATTTTTTTGAGAAAATTAGACCATTTCTGTCGGAATGTCGAAAAAAGCCCTCAAGCGGCGATATGTGAAACTAACACGAAGAATAACTCTTTTCAATTAAGGGTGTTCTTTACGGAAACCATTGAATACCCTTCACCACTTCATTTTTAGATACAGGAAAAATTGTCAAACAAAAAAGGTTCAGATTATCGTCGTCTTCAAAGACCGGGTATTTTTTGTTAGGTTAATATAGCGGAATTCACAGAAAAATCACTTTTTTAGACTCCAGATTGCAGTTACACCCCCTAGCGGCCATTTCAGAAACTTAAAAATATTTTCCAGGTTTTTCTCGTGGCCGTTTTAGTAATAAATTTTTTTACCGCAAGCCTCTACGATGGGCAGGTTCCCAGATACAGTACCTCGCATTCTTATTTGGCCATCCTGTACAATTTGAGATGTTTTATTATGCATTTTTCTCTTTTGCATTTTGCTGTAGTCGATTTATTTCATGCTTTTGTGTGGACCACGCGGGGGTTTTGTCCCGTAGAAGGTTTCCCTGGTTGGTTGTGTGCGTAATACATCTATCCGTTAACAAAAGGTCTCGCGTCCCAACACATCAAGCAGCCGGCTACTGAGATTCAGAAGTTCTTCTTGAAAATCAGGTGGCTCTGCTCGTAGCTTTCTCAATAGTTGCCGATTGTAAGTATAGAGTAGGTAAGTCAACATTTTCAGTGCCGGTTTGGGGGACCCATAAGACGATTACAGACTGGTTTCAAATAAAAGTGAACAGAATTTTTCAGACACTGACCTACAATAATAGCATTTTATAAACAAATTCTTTGTATTTTTTTTCTTATCCGATCAATGCTCTGGTCTTGATATCAAGGTTACTATGAAGTAGATTGTCCCAAACTAGAGGTTTAATCGAGCGTCGAAAGCTGGACACCATAGATCCAAGATTGTGTTGTTCCGAAAGCCGTTTGACGGGCTTGTGGTTAAGTCAAATATATAATTATCAGTTACACTTCAAAGTCAAGACTCAAATGTCAGCTAACAATGTTCTTGCAACCGTTTTTTTCATGGGCGAGGCATTTTGTTCATCGATTTTTTGCATGAGCGACACACAATTACGTATCCTTTACCCTACATGCCTTTCATTTAAGATTATTTGTGAGAAACCAGTAATTTGGGTATGCCATTTGCGTTCACTAATGCACCTGCGTGTTGGCATCCAATTCGATCCCGCAAAATCTCTTCAACTACGAACGCTAACTGAAATATTTATTCAAAAAATATGCATTACAATACACACAATTAAACTCATTAATTACGCCATCTTTTTCTTAAAATTATCATAAATCACATGTTACAACGTTAATAACTAAGATAATTAACTACCAGTCCAATTACACTTATACAAAACTAGATTGAGAAAAAAGTGTTACGCTTATACAAATATATGGAGATGGCGACCCACAGCGCCATACTCCACAAATTCATATAGAGATAGGCTCCGTGCGTTTGACTCGTGGGAAGCCAAGCGAAAGGGAAGGTGCCTTTCAAAAGCACATGCCCGATGTATAGGATAAGCGAATTCATGCCGGGATAGAATAAGGGACGTCCGCCCCACTTGCGCATAATATCCACCAGCAGGAAAAGATAAGCCTGGATCAGAAATGCCAAACCGCCGACGACCAAGACGAAAGACAACGACCACAAATTTTTGTTTATAGGAATCAGACCGCCGTTCTTCGAGAAGCCGCACAAAGCGCCCCCGATTAAGCCCTGCAATAAAAGCGTAAAGCCTCGCCTCGCGATTTCGGCGATACTCACCATTACGCATCCCCAAATGTTCCATCGAATAATGCGTGTGTTAACATTACTGTACGTGAGCAAGATGTGACCGGCCTGTACTCCCAAGTACATTAAAAAGCAGGCAGTTAGCGTTCCGAGGATACCTACAACGTGAATGAGCGCATAAGAATTGCCTATACTAATTAGCGTTACCTTCCGGATCGTAATTGAGAGTCGTCTCGTACAGAACGCGACAGGTGGGTCTGCTGTACATGTGCGCGCCGAACACCAGCCTGTCGATGTATCCGGCGGCCCCGCCCGTGCAGTTCACGTGATGGCCGAGATCGTGAAGCCCGCCGGGTCCCATGTAGCCCCGTCCACAACCGGGCACCTCCACCAAGAAGGTTATGAGGGTGTGTATCAGAATGAAGGTCAGCATGACAATCCATTGCGGAATTGCTATGAGAATGTCCTCGAGGAACGCCAGACGTCCAAACTGGGAAAAATTTTACTTGTTATTTACAAATGATAATGTGAAATGGGGTTCCACAAGGAGGTAACTGGGTCCTAATTTATTCTGCGCCTTCGCGGTCCTCTAATAGTTCATTAATCCTCACGTTAATAACCATAAACTTGGCAATAGAGCCCTTTTTTGATGGGGTGTTCTTTATATACATTGCCTAAATACATGAGGAAGAAGTTTATTCTATAATGGAAGTGGTGTTTCGTTAAATACGGCAAGCAGGAGGCTACGATTATCTGATTGACGGCAGCTGGAAAAGAGTGTAAGTCTCTTTACGCTATTTATTTGGGCTGTCGGCCCGATTTGATTGATTCAAGACGCAGTTGGTCTTTATTAAGATAATTCTGTACACAAGAAAGTCAACTGAAGTTATTTAAAAGTTGTAATAGTCAGCGTTCGTGTTCAGTTAAGCGCGTCTGTTTACGACCAGATTATTTAAAATGAAAAACTGTAAGTAATTTTAAAATTTTTAATTATCGAACGCCTGCGCGCGGGGTAATGAAAATTTGTGTAGTTAATCCTTGAGAATTTTCAAAAGTTGATCGGGGCTAATGAGTTTCACAAATTATTAGTTTAAGTCAATATTGTGATTTTTTCCCAGAGGCCTGTATACAAGGAGAAATTGCATCATTCTTAATTTAAAGATTATTTTATTTTGAGATAGCTGGACAGATATTTTGCCGGGCGGTGTAATTGACCGCACTCCATTACAGCAATATAAGATCGTTTTTAAAGCGCAAGTAAATAAATAATACCTAAAGTAAGGGCACCAATAATTAAGAATTCCCTAATAAATAGGAAAATTATAATTACTAATCGTGGTTGTCCAAAGTAGCAGCGTTTTGTTTTTGCTTGTGATTTATCTTGAGTGCTCGCGTTTGTTAATGAAGCATTTAGAACTATTTGTATGAAAAATTCAAAATTATAAAAATTCAAAAAACAAAAAAATTAGCAATAATTTAAAAAAATGCAAAAGACGTCTAGCAAAAGTACAAATAACAATCTATATTCCAGCAACTGTACTGAAAAATTGAAAACATGAAAAATCAACATTCGGAAAAAGTTAAAAAAAAAACAGAACTCAGCAGCTACATTGAAAAATTCAAAAAATAAAAAAAATTTGCAATGATTTCAAAAAATGCAAAAACGTCTAGCAAAGTACGTTTAGAAAAATTAAAAAAATTTGCAATAATTGAAAAATCCGAAAAATCGAAACATTCGGAAAAAACAGACGGCACTGAAAAATTCAAATTTATAAAAATTCAAAAAATAAAAAAATTCTAGAGAGGATTAGAGGGGTTTGGGCAAACGGAAGGAGTTTGCAGGATTATGAATGGGACCAAAAGGCATCTTTTTACTTAAATTTTTTAAGTTGTAATTCTAGATTCAAAAAAGAAGATAAAATGTTGTATCCGAGGTTCAATTTTAATTTTATTGCCGCTTATCAGTTCTGTAGAGAAGATTAAAGATAATACGCTTAGTTAACTGCGGTACTTTTCGGGCAGATGTCGGCGTACTTTCGTCTGTGGTTAAATAGCGGAAGGAGGAATTGATAAAATGAGAGCTTGGATTGAATTGGGGACTTCCCATATTAATGACGTAAGCGAATGTAAAGATAAAAAACTGTGGTGTCGTTCTATAGTATAAATATATCCATAATTATAGTCATTTTTAACTTTTTATGGAGCACAATACGGAAAAATACAGGGTGGTCATTTTAAAACGTACAAACTGTAAGCAAAAATTGTCCTTACCTCATTAACTGTAGTCGTTCTCTTAGCAAAAGCGACCTCAATAACTCCAACGATAAGGTACGTAAGACCGAGCCTTTGTAACACACCCGGAAACCGCAACGAAGCGAGGGTCTGAGTGCGAATATCGTTCGAGTTCAAAATAATTCCAATAAAGATCAGTAGAAGGGATCGCTGAACGACGCTCATAAATAGCTGGCGACGCGGCACCGCCCTCCTCAACCTGTTACCCAACGAAACCGTCAGAGACAGGCCCATGATCCACACGAACCTGCAAAGTCTCTCGCTCGATCGATGATAAGCAATCGACGCGACTTACCATGGAAAGACCAGGTCGGCGACCGTCAGTCCGTTCCACACCGAGTGCCGAAAGAACCAGTACCGTCCGCCGCCGTAGTTGACGAAGATCATTATCGAGATGCAGAGGCCGCGAAAGACGTCGAGCGATTTGATGCGATGCGGGTGTTTGCGTATGGTTGGCGGCCTTTCGATGACCAAAGATGAGCCGTCCAGGGGACTGCCCTGATCCTAAAACATGATTAGATCTCCGGCCGTAAGCTGGTCTTCGGCGTCACTTACGTTTTCCGTTCGGGCATAACGGAAGATGTACTTGTTCCAAATGTCGTTATTCTTCGTGCACTTATAGACGCACTTTACCATGTACCACAATGTGCCGAAAGCGAACAGTACGATGAAAGCGGTAAGGATCGCTATTGCAACATGGAATTAACAAAAGCTAGATTGGCTTAAGAAGTAATGTTGAGTGACGACTGTTCAATTAATAGATGAATACACTGAAATTCAAATACCTACAGCTCAATTTTCTGTTTTTTTAAAGAGACTGGTCACGCCGCCGATGGTTTCCTCTTTAATGAGAGTAATGAATCCCAGATGGACGAGCAAGATTTATTGTTTAAATTGTATGAAATTTGCAGGTGTTCATGTGTTCGATAAGAGAATTGATAACATGTTTACGTTGTACGGAAAAAGTGTGGAAGTGGGAACGCAATATGCCTGTTCATAAAATGTGGATTGAGGAGGAGCCACCGACAATTGGTTCGTTCATAATTTTACTCGCCTTTTCAGTCATAATTTGTAGTGCAATCTATGTATGATTGTTCTGTCGTAAGTAAAGTTCGTTTTAATCCGGTTCGGCCACCAGTTAAGGTCCACCAAAGTGACAAAAACAAGCGCACTGTTAAATTACTATCTAACCAACGACTAAAGAGGACGTGGAGAAATTACGCACGTGTAACAACCGAAACAAGTTGTTTTAAATTCAATTTTAGGTTTAAGGATTTTGCAATTGTTAAAAAAAATTGGCCCGTGTGTTTACGAACCCAGTAAATTTTGAGTTTCATGCAAGTTTGGGCGAGCCGAGTGCTGATATGTAAAATACAAATTATTAAAATAAAGCAAGTCCGAGAGCAAGTCGTTGGTTCACGATAACGAGATCAGTTTCTTTTGCTTTAATAAGTACTGAGCAATAAGCACAGAGGAAAAGAAGCCTCGCCGCACGTTTGGCCAGTGCTCTAAGGTTGCCGTATCCCGGACCTTCAGATACCTTCTGGACTGGAGAACGTCTGGTTAATTAACAATGTATTTCCTATACTTTATGTAAAGAAATTTCGGAATATTTTTCCCAAGTGGGAAAGGAATGGAGTTGGTTTGAAATCCAGTCTTTGGCTTATCAAATGTATTAGAAACTGTTTACAAAAATAATAAACAATTGACATTTATCTGCCAATTGAAAGATGAACCGATTTCGGAAGAATTATTCAAAATATAATATGGAATCTGGGTTTGGAAGGAGAGTGAGCTTCCTCCCCGAGACTAGAGCATCTCCGCCTGACATCATTCACTCCAAGATGCTGGAGGGGGATTGGCACTGCACTGGGCCAGTTAATAAGAGAAATTAGACACGTCAAAACAAATGGGAATTATAAAGCAGGTCCAAACACTGATTTAATTTCAGCCACCGCTACCGTAAATAATGCTGCAGTTAATCCACCATTTGCATCCGTTCCCGCAGAAATATTTAAATTGTTTTTACAGCCGCCGAAAGCTCTCTTGACGGGGAAGAAGAGAGATAATCAATCTTTAGGTTCGTTTAGTTTTCTATTGGTATAAGAAATCCAACATTAAAACCGTGGAGTTTACGGAAATATCAACGTGTTAGGAGATAAAAGGGCATTGCCGGACTGTCGAATTTGGAGATTTCATTCCGACTATTGGGATAAGTATAATTAACCGTTAACTAGTTGAATGGGTAACAGATAACAGGCTCATGAGTCGAGATTACGTAGGTATTAGGTGCGCTCTTAAAAAACTTGAATTTTGATACCGGTCCCGTATTTTTATGATGTCTGGGAAGGACGTAATTAATTAAAAATAGGTTTAATTTTCGAACGTTATCGCAAGGTCACGCCGTCGAGCTGGAAAAACCGTCGATTCCGCCATGGTACAGCCGAATTTTATTTACGTAAACGGTTAATTCAAAGGAGATCTTTTTGCCATTTTTGCTTGTCGTAAGTACGTTAAGCTTTTGCTTTACCATCGCCGACCGCATCTTGTCCAGAGGCAAGAGAAATCGTAAACTTCTGGTGACGCCGAAAGCACTCATGTTCCACCAACTACCGCCACCGTCACCGTCTACAGATTTTGACTTGTCAATTACGATTTTCCTTTGTCTTACCTTCATTAAATTTCATTTTTGTAATTATAACTTTTATTTTTTTTTGTGTAGAGGAGAACCGAAGCGCATCGTTAGTGCGCGAGTTGGTCGCAAGTTGTTCCGAAAACAACCGGCCCAAAGCAGTGCCAATTTTCCACCAGCATCGTGGAGTAAGTGATGTTTTGTTTTGATAATTAGTAATTATGAATTTAAAGTAAATGAATAAGATTAAGTTGATTCATTTGGAATTATTTGCGTTGTATTTGTAAAAGTTTATCTCATGTTTTTCTCTGATCGTTTGCGATAAGAGTCCTTATCGCTGCTTAAGTTAATTAGTCTCCAGATAAGCACGTGTTTATAGTAAACCTTTCGAAGTATTTTGTTAAGGAAGGAGAGGTGAAAGCGAGGCAAGAGAAAAGGTTTTAAATAAGCAAATCGAACGTTAATCGTCCAAAAATTCGAATTGCTCAACGACAACGTCTCGCTATTGGTCGCGGGTAAGAGTACGGTTTGGCTTTTATCAAGTGAGAAATGGAAGGTAGCGAGGTTTTTAGCTGAGCCAGCAGAATGTAGATAACTTTTGGTGGGGGCGTTTAATATAGGTAAACATATCCTTCATTTTGCTTGGAAATTACTGTAATTATTTGTTAATTGTTTTGTGTGACTCGCTTGTTGATTGATTAGGGTGTTTGCTTTTATAAATTTGAATTGGCAGGCCCTTATAAAATATTGACCCTGACTTGCGCTTGTTGTGGTTTGAACAAGATGGTGCAACTTCTTACAAGACACCACGACTCTCAAATTCTGCCATGATACACTGCTACAATCCTTAATGAGATTCAGTACAAATACAAATTGGTCCCTAAACCTGAAAAAAACCTTGAAACTTTTTATCAACATTTAGGTGAGCTCTCGGATGAGCTTCAATAATACCCTTCTTGGCCCCTAGATTGGTACAATATGATGGTGTATACAGAGCGACTGCCGAATATCATCAGCATTCTCTTCCTCTTTTATTCAAATCAATGCTGCGTAAATGGCAGGCGGTTTGAGCAAAATATGTGAACGAAACAATTGGTTTTCGCCTGACAAAGGGGCCATGACAAAATCCCACCTTAAGTTACATGAACATAAAAACTGAAATGGCAGAAATATGTCAGTTTTGACCAATTAACATCACAACACTACTTCTTAAACGGCAGAAACAGCCAATTGTCTTTAATGTAAGCAATGAATGTATACTTACGTAAGTAAGCGCTATCGGCCTGTTCCTTAATTTCAATACGTGAACAGTTTTCAGTCAAATTCCACCCATATCGGTAATGTTCGTAGAATAACTTGTCGTGCCTACAACCCTCGTTCGAAACTTATTTACGACAATCACTTTACTTACTCGCACGTGACATTGTTGTAAGTGTAGTTTACGTGTAGACTATAACGAGTGTTCACCAATATCGATGTGTTCGTCTTGCCGTCGATGACGGCCAGCGTTTCGAACTCGCAACCGTCGCATTCATTGTACTGGCCCGAAATTCTAATACTTTCCTGGAGATGATTCGAGATGTCGAGGCAGGCTTCGTCGAAAATTAGGTCCGCCGTCGACGAGTTACACTTGTGGGGCTTTTCGAAGAGCATTTTAATACTTTTATAGCGTTGTGACGCAACATCGACGAGCACGTACTCTTTCGCCCATATAATCGATGCGATTAGTTATTTATTACGTACACTTATCAATGAGTAATTGTGCAAATAATTACTACCGAATGCTAACTGGTTTTTGAGCTATCAAGCTACTTTATCAACAGAATGAATCAGGCACAGTCAAATGGGAATGACTCACATGTCATATTTATTGATAATAAAAACAAAAACAATGGAATGGACAATGTATGCGACGTTGCCAAAGGTAAGAGATAGAACTTGACTGACTTATATAGGGTGTTTGTGGGATCTAATTCAAGCAACCCTAAAACCACCGAGAGGTACGAGTAAATTGGGGGGTTGCAGGTTGCTTACTCCTAATAAACAAAGGAAAAGGGAATCAAATGTTGGGACACGACGTAGACCACGGAACAAAAGTGACCTCTGGCTGTGACTAAAGGTAGCAGATAACCGACCACTTTCGATATCATTAGCGTCTCACTTCCAGTGGCGTAGTTATTGTAAATACTGCAAGTGCGAGAACCGGCCCTGGCGCACAAAAAAGGGTTGTTTTAAGGCCATTCTGTTTGTAGGCTTTCCGTTTCAGTATGCCCTTTGACCTACACGAGTTCAAAGGAGTTGTTAGATGATAATTGCTCTATTAAATGGTGAAATTCAAGCACTATCCTATTCCCAGAGGTGATTCTGCAGTGGCCTATATAATAAAATTGTTATTCTATAAAAAAAAAATGTTAGTTTCTTGTAAAATTATTCCTTCAGCTAGCTCAATATAACGAAAATACAATTCTAATTAAATAAAATCCGTTAATGGGCTCGGGTTACAGGCCGAGTGCCTGAATGGCAGTTCTGTGATCACTGGATATTCTTATTGTTTTATTCTCAATACTTTCACTAAGAACTTTATTAGTCCTTAGCATTTTTCCTACCAATTCCGTTTCAAGTACGGTTAAGAATTTGTCTAGTGGTTTGGTGATTTGGAAATTTAGTTCTTTATAACGGATAGGTTGGGTAGTTGGCTTAAGTGTTAAACACTAAATGAGAGCTTGAGAATCTTCCATCTGGCGGTAGTTCGTTCTGGGTAAAAAGATCTTTGTAACTTCGTTGCGCCACATAATTTCTAAGTTAACTTAAGCTTAACCAAAATAAATTCTGGTTTATTGTCATTATTAAATGATAATGATAATGATAATGATTATTGTCATTATTAAATGATAAAATTATAAAATGGTCCCCACAATGGGATAGCATAATACACAAATATTTAAATTAATATTTGTAGCTGAAGAATAGCTCTTTTGAACTAACCCGAGTTTGTTTAAATCGGCTCCGCCGTTTTGAAGATACAGGGCGTTCTTTACGGAAACTTTTGAATACCCCCCGCCAACTTCATTTTTAGATATACAGGAAAAATTGTCAAACAAAAGTGGTTCAGATTATCATCGACTTCAAAGACCCGATATTTTTTTGTTAGGTTAATATAGCGGAATTCACAGAAACATCGCTTTTTTTAAATTCCAGATTGCAGTTACGCCCTCTAGCGGTCATTTCAGAAACTTAAAAATATTTTCCAGGTTTTGCTCATGGCCGTTTTAGTAATAACTTTTTTCTACCGCAAGCCTCTACGATGGATAGATTCTCAGATACAGTACCTCGCATTCTTAGTTGGCAACCCTGTACATAAAAATTTGCAATATCAAACGTAACAATGAATAAGTATATTCTCGTTGTTAATTTAAATTTAAACGAGGTGCTTTTCGGTGGGTAATCGAGAACAAGTGCGTGGTAAATTGGGGTAAATTATACTTCAATTTATTATTAGAATATTCGTTCAAATTGTGTATTAGAAGATTTTTCAGTTAACAATTACATTGAATTGTTTATTTCGGTAAATTATACCTATAACATTTGCATCATAAATAAGCCAGAAGTTGTGTAATCTGCATTTAACAATATTTATTAATTTAAAGGTATAATTCAGGTATCGTATCGATTTCGATCTTCCCAAGTTTTTTTTGCATAAACCTATCCAAATTAAGTTTTAGATATACCAGCACTACATTATTTATTTACCACATAATACCGAAAATTAAACTGGTAACTAGATTTTGAACTAACACTTGAACCCTACAATTAAAACCCTAAAAGAAAATCAAAGGTAACTCCTCTTTCTTGATAAACTAAAATTTACATACCTCTTAAATAAGAGGACTAATTGGAAATTGTCGTAAAACAAATGACAGCCTAAAGAAAAGGTACACTTCAATTAAATGAAATGCAAATGGCGGTACTGACGATAAAGAAGAAAAAAAACGCAAATATATCCTCCTTATTGGAGTTTTTAGGCAAATGTAATAAATCCAATAATCCAATAATCCAATTGTAAGAGATTAATAAAATATGGATGATAGCAATTAAAATTCCATGCGTTCTCAACTGACGCCTCAGCTGTTGGTTGAAGTGTCACTCAATACGGTTCTCGACGTGTTAAAATTGCATGGTTTAAATTCCAACAATAATGCTAGACGGTCGCGAATTAGAGCAGTGTACCAAGTCGTTCTTACTTTGCAATAAACGCCTATTTTAAATTGTAGTGTTTAATTAAGGGGTGTTATCCGTCTATTATAATCCCATTTAAAAAATATATAAACCAAAGAGGCAGTAATCCGGACGAATAAACAAAACAAAAAGGGCATGGAACAAAGATCCCACCCATCCCAATGAATCCTGTTTCAAAAAAACGATCCCATTAAAAAATCGAAAAATACATTTGCTTAGCGATTAGGTTATCTGGTAGTTCAGTTCTTTTGAGCAGATGCCCGTTCCTGTTCTTCTGTTGTTTTCCTTATGACAAATTGAGGTACAAATGAGTCCTTCCAGTGGGTGCAACCGCTTGAATGACTAAAGTCTGGATTTCTGCTTCGCGGCCGCCTTGTAACCACTAGGGGTGTTTGCAGGGTTGGCCATTAGTCACTAGAGGGCATTCAACTTCATAGGGCTTCAGGGTGGCCCCCTGCGTTTCGTTCTGACGGGTGTAGTATCATGTTAGTGAAGATCAGAGGTAACTAACCTTGTAGAGATTAAGCGAGAGGTTTACGGATAAAGCGGGGGCATCATCCTCATTCATATCTCCGCGTGATCTCATACTGTCTATAAAAGCCTAATGAAGCAATATTCATCGGTTCACTCCATGTCGATTTCTCCTCATTTATTCACTTAACTGAACTTCCAAGGACAGAGGGGAAGGGAGGAGTGCCTATATCAATGCTACGCGAAAATGGGAAAAGGTATAAGGAACCAAATATATCAACCTGGAGATTTATTTTTACTAAAACAATTGAATGGCCGGGAATGTTATCAGTATTTGACCCGATTATTGGATAAATACGTTCGTGCCAGGTTTGTTGTTGTTTGGATAATCTGAATCTTGTTCAATGGTATACTCACCTTTGAGTTCCCACGTCTTCTATTATAGTGAGAATTTCAATGATCTTGTTAAGTATGTATTAATTCCATAATTCAAGTGGGTCAAAAGTCCAAATTTGAACGTAAATACACGTGGAGTTATTTTGGAGTGGGACTGCCTCATACACGATCAAATCAATTTAAAGATTCGATCGCGCAAACATGCTGCTCAAATTGTGTTTGTTTGGCTTCGCGTTTTGTTCGGTTTCTCAATGTGCTCGAATTTTGGTTATCGTACCAACACCATCGCACAGTCACCATGTGGCAACTCAACCGATTTGGAAAGAATTATGCTTACGAGGTCATCAGGTAACGTCATTGACTACTGTACCAATTAACGACCCGAAACTTACCAACCTCACCGAGATCGATATTAGCTTCTCCAATAGTGCTTGGCATAAGGATCTAAAAGAAATTGTCGCCTCAAATCACTTCCTAACGTACATCAATACTTACGTCGCCCTCGCAAATTCGTGCGACGTCCAACTCGCACATCCCTCAATTCAAGCACTCATTAAAAGTAAAAATGAGTCGTTCGATCTGGTCATCACTGAATCAACGCGACCGGCCTACTTCGCCTTTGCGCAAAAATTCAACTGTCCGTCCATTGGGATCAACACTCTAGATGCATCACCATCAATTTACAGCGCTTTGGGAAATCCGACTCATCCACTACTTTATCCCGATTACTGGATAAGTTATGTGAACGATCTGTCGCTCTTCCAACGCATCTTCAGTGTGGTTCACTATGCGTTTATTATGGTTTGTGAAAAAATGCTACTAATGCCCATGTACCAAGAGATAACAAATCGGCATTTCGGGAGCGAGTACCCACCGCTCGAGCAGTTAATAGCAAACATGAGTTTACTACTGGTCAATTCCGAATCAGTTTTTCGCACTATTAGACCTAGGACGCCAAACATCATACCGATTGGAGGAAACTTAATTCGACTCCCAGCCAAACCTCTTCCAAAGGTAACCCTAAGTGCAGGTATCTTAATTTATAGCGTCCCCTTGCAGGATCTAAAAGAAGCATTGGACAACGCAAAAAATGGTTTCATTTATTTTAGCTTGGGATCCAATGTTAAAAGTAACTTTTTGGACGATCGAGTACGTGATGATATAATGGGGGCATTTCGCGAACTCCCCTACTTGGTGGTGTGGAAGTTGGATACCGACAGCTTACCAAACAACCCGAAGAACGTGCTGCTATACCCGTGGGTGCCTCAGTTAGCTGTCCTTAGTATGCACCACATGATTGTTTTGCTTTTTTAAGTCACATCTTCCAGATCACCCCAACTTAAAGCTCTTCATAACCCACGGCGGTCTTCAGTCGATGACCGAATCGATTTATGCCAACGTGCCGATGTTAGGGATACCATTTTTCGCAGATCAAGATCGTAATGTCCAAGAAATGGTCGCGAAAGGTTACGGCGTGTACCTCGATCATCGACAAATAGAAAAACGTCGCTTAGTGCAAACCATTTTGGAAGTTATCACTAATCCAAAGTAAGTGACCATTTTCCCTCTCCAAAGTTGTCATGTTGCATCTTAAGGTACCGATCCAAACTCAAGGAGTTAGCCGAACTATCAATCGATCAACCAATGACGGGACTCGAGCGAGCCGTTTGGTGGATTGAATATGTTTTGCGCCACAAGGGAGCGAAACATTTGCAAAGTCCAGCCATCTCACTACCCTTTTACCAACATTACTTTTTAGACGTCATTGCTGTCTTAGTACTTATAGTATTCGGAACAATGTATACTTTATGCAGATTGCGAAGAGCTGTATTTTCAAAAAGAGTTAAACTTGGTTAATTTCCAGTTTTTCAATCGAACTCCCCATTTTCTCTTCTTCTGTTACTTCCTGTATTTTCGATCTAATAGTGATGATCTTTGGCAATTTTTTGTTACGCTATACAGTTTGCCTTACCTTATTACAGTTGGAATCACTGGGGAGAAAATTAAAAGCAGTAGCGCTCGGCTAGAACAAATGAGACTTCTTTTTATATGTCGGGACGTGAGACACAATCGGGAAGGGAATTAAATATAACTCGATCGTCTCACAAGCAGACTCACATATTAAACCGAATAAAAGTTAATTAGAGGGCCTCTCCACTCATATTACTACAAGTAATACAAATGTTTGAGGTGCTTCCTCCACGAAATAAACGGATACATACAGAGAAACGTCACCCTGATAATATACGTCCATGTGAGTGCATAAATGAATACTAAATAAAATAATATATAGGCACCTGTACAGTATAACAAAGAAACATGATTCGCTACCTCACTTTATGCCAAGCTTCTTTGCGAAAATCCCCGTTCCTCGGCATCTGCGCAGAATGGTCGAAGTCGAGGACTGAGCACGTTTGCTGTATATACAGAGCGTTTAGAATTTGTTTTCCCATAGTGCTATGTTTTCAGACGTAAGGTGTGTTGTCTAACCGTAGGGGTAGGTCAGTAAATAGTACAGTATCATAAAACCGACCGAATCGACGTACATTTAAAATGAAAAAGATTGAACAGAATAATGGAAGAGAACAAATTGAAGTATGAATAAATAAAATAAGAGTAGCGAAATTAACATAGTGAAAATAAAGGAACATTATGAGGGGACGCAAAATATGCATAGATCATGAGTTGACCTTCGAGGAAAAAATATTAGAGGTGTTGCGGAGACACAAAGGGGAGAAAACAAGATACAATACAATACAATACAAAGCAACAAAGAAAGAAGAATCGGTGAACAAAGAATAAGAGGGCAGAAAAGGAATTGCCTGGGTTTGGAGGGAGAAAGTAAGCGAATCATAAACGAGAGTGGATGCGACGGAAATGGGAACTACTGGAAAAGAGAAAGAGATCATGAAGCTTTTATGCGAAAACGTGGCTAGCAAATATCAACATTGACTGATGGAAGCACGAAGGGAAAAATTGGAAAAACTGAAAGATTCTTGTTTTCGGTACTGAAATGGCGTCGTTGGTGAAGCGAAAGAGGGGGAGGGGGCAATGTAACGAAGCCAGGTGAAAATTACATTCTGAGGTGAAATGAAGAGCTCAGTTTTGGCAGTCGGCAGTAGGCAGTACAACGATTAATGATTTTACCACTCGTATGTCAAAAGAGGTAAACAAGTATAAATTGTGTACAGGCCTTGTGCAGATAAAGCGCATTTTTTAACCGAAATAGCTTTTGTTTTGACATCACCAATGGATATATTTCTTGCAGACGTTTCAATCGTCCTTTGTGAGTACCCTCTTCCGACAATCCGGTCTTGAAGTATAAGGGAATATACTCGATCACGATAAGAGGTCGAGGAGGAACTAGCCCGTACTTGGATAAGAGGACAGAAAGAGAGGCAGTAGTTTGTAGAAAACAGTTCCTTTCGTTGAGATCTTTCATTAGAGTACCATGAAGGATAAAACTAGTTTTGCCGCCGTAAATGCTCGAAATGCTGGCTCAAAAAAATAAGATTTTGAGGGTATACAATTTTCATTGGCGTAAATTATATACAGTGTGTCCCAAATCGGGTGGGATTGCATCGGTAACTTTGTTATTATTAAAGATAGAGAATTGGTTAAATGGGCAATGTTTTGCAGTTTTGGATGCTTATTTAAAATTTCCTTATGGAAATTCAAAATGTCGCATAGGTTCGACGTAAATTCAAAAAAACTAAAATTGGTCATTTCCTTGAATGTCTTATATCATCGAAAGTGTAAAAGATATAAAAAAAGTTTTATATGAAAGTGACTGTCTTTGATACGCTTAATTTAAAATTGATGTCAAAATAAAATTCAAGATGGTCACTTTTGAGGAACATTTACCAACTTCCTAAAGTTAAATAGGCGCCATATTGGATTTTTAGATTACTTGATAGATTTTTAAATTCTCTTTTCAACGAGCTATTATAACATAAGATTGAAAATAAGATACCAGTTATATTAACGGTTTTTGTATTTTAATCTAGTAGTCTGTGACGAATAAAAAAAAACAAAACAAAATCTATTCGAGGCAACAAAACAAGGAAAATAATTACACCAGATGTTTAAAATACTGGCCATTATTAGTGAAACACACTTCAGACAATTTAGTTTAGGCAACGTGTTGCCATTGATGATTATTATTATTATTGTAGTGGTAGCTACTTCCGCTTTACTTTTATTTTTTAATTAAGTACTTACTTTTATAATTTAATGTACTGTACATAATTCGTGAATTGTGACCTGAGCAGCCAGTTTGTTGGTAGGTAGCATAAACTAACCCTTCCTTCGAAACATACGTTGTCGAGAAAAATCCTTTAAGGAAGTTTATTGGAGAATTTGTAAATAATGGTGAGCAGTTAAAAATCCATCGAAGATTACCGGTCCAATTACATGACTTCCCATTATGCCATAAAATACATTAATTTAAAAAAATATTACTTGATTTCGGCGTGAAACTACAACATGTAGGTTTTCCTGTGACGAGTATAGTGTTCATTATGTCGATTTGAACACTTCGCAGTTAGAAGAATAAGATTCATCTGTCCATATACTCGGACTGGTGAAACTGTTAGTTTCGATATTCTTGCGGATAAACCACCTACAAAATGTGACCTGGAACAATGCATCAATGGTAATACATTGTGTAAAATAAAGCGAAGTGTCTTGAAATGTCTTTAACTGGATAATGGCATGACTTTTTTCGAGGGGATAGTTTGTAGTTATACCACCATTTGTAGGTATGTAAGTATGGATAATAAGTCAATAAGTGATGTTATAAAAATCAAATTTTTCTAGACCTAATGCTTATATAAAATTTTGGAGGGAGTTGTAATGCCCAAACCCCCCCCTCTCATGAGTGCGTCCCTGATTTTTTTAAACATCTGATGTAATTATTTTCATTGTTTTGTTGCCTCGAATAGATTTTGTTTTGTTTTTTTTTAATTCATCACAGCCTACTTAATTAAAATATAAAAACCGTTGATATAACTGGTATCTTATTTTCAATCTTATGTTATGATGGCTCGTTGAAAAAGAGAATTAAAAAATCTATGAAGTAATCTAAAAATCCCATATAGCGCCTATTTAACTTTAGGAAGTTGGTAAATGTTCCTCAAAAGTAGCCATCTTGAATTTTTTTTGACATCAATTCTAAATTAAACGTATCAAAGACAGTAACTTTTATATAAAACTTTTTTTATATCTCTTATTCTTTCGATGATATAAGACATTCAAGGAAATGACCAATTTTAGTTTTTTTCAATTTACGTCGAACCTATGCGACATTTTGAATTTCCAAAAGGAAATTTTAAATAAGCATCTAAAACTGCAAAACATTGCCCATTTAACCAATTTCTATCCTTAATAATAACAAAGTTACCCATGCAATCCCACCCGATCTGGGACACACTGTATATATTTCTCAAGATATCGAGATGCTGTTTTCGCGAGCTTGTTTAGGCATCATTTAGCTACTTTTCCATGAAAAAAAATCGAACCAATGCATTTAATTTTTTTGAGAAAATTAACCATTTCTGTCGTAATGTCGAAAAAAGCCCTCAAACGGTGATATGTGAAACTGACAAAACTTCAAATATTATAATATTTGTAGATGAAGAATAGTTCTCTTGAACTAACCCGAGTTTGTTTAAATCGGCTCAGCCGTTTCGAAGATACAGCGTGTTCTTTACGGAAACTTTTGAATACCCCCCCACCCCACATCATTTTTGAGATACAGAAAAAATTGTCAAACAAAAAAGGTTCAGATTATCGTCAACTTCAAAGACCGGATTTTTTTTGTTAGGTTAATGTAGCGGAATTCACAGAAAAATCACTTTTTTAGATTCCAGATTGCAGTTACGCCCCCTAGCGGCCATTTCAAAAACTTAAAAATATTTTCCAGGTTTTTCTCGTGGTCGTTTTAGTAACAACTTTTTTACCGCAAGCCTCTACGATGAACAGGTTCCCAGATACAGTACCTCGCATTCTTATTTGGCCATCTTACAAGGCCAGATGGGACTTCGTGTCAGGCAGCTACTACGCGAAAGAGGCCGCCACAAGACCATCTCGCTGTTTGGTGTGATTCTGTACAGGGTTGTCAAGTTACAACCTGTGTTTGCTGGTCTGCATACCTTCTGGCCACTGTAAATTAAACAATCGCATGAGTCTGGTTCAAACACGTTCCTGTAGAGTAGAGGATGCATGCGGACACGGACACGGCTCAGCCGCACTCGTTCAAATGCGAGAGTCCACATTGGGAGAATCCTAGCCAAACATTACCAAGTCCTCAAGTTTACTTAAATTGTGGGATGGCTTGAATGGTGCTGGGAGCGGACGATTCGGAGATTTGAGCGACGACAAATTAATTTCGTTTTAGAACCGTTGTACCAAAAATAGACAAGTCATACTCGAACAAAGTGATATTTCAACGCGGGTATTACGTGTTTTAAAATCGCGCGTAAATTGTGGAACCTTGAACTCTGGGGAATTTACGCTGTTACGAACAAAGTCGCACCTTGACATGAGGAAAGCTGGAGGACAACCAGGTCAAATGAAATCAGCTATTCTATATGCCATAGAGTACATCAAATTCAGTTTAATTCGATTGAGCTAGTCGGTGCAACCCGAACGCGGAGCAGATACCTTTCGCTGGGGTGCCATTTTGTTTTCTCACAATGTGATTTGTGGTATTTTTATTTAATTCCGTAATCACACTACATTCACTGAACCTTAGGGGCTTTATATCGCACGTCAATCAGGTCTCTCGGATTTGGGGAAAAGGAAAGCACCTCAAAACTGGAAAAACGGAAGCCTCTCCCGTTTCTGGTAACATGCAAGCCGGCATGCTGCGGGGAGTTGTCTGCGAGCGCTTTTCCGATCGAGAGCTCGCCTCTAATTAAAACCCTTCCGATGTACGTGGTGCATCCCGGCTCGTACCCGCCCTTGACCAAGTACTTGTCGGTAATTTCGTGTATGTGATCATTATCCGTTTTGATCCATTCGAATAGCTCCGGTTGTTCCGTGCATAAAATCTACAAGAATAGCAATAGAAGTGCAATTTTCGCTGGGTCTACATTACCATTATGTTCTCTTTCACACCAAATTCCTTGCCACCGTACTCATGGTAAGCGGTACTGTCGTTCTGGTAAATTTTGGCGGGAATTAGGTAAGTCGCATATACTTGACCTATGTAGATCGATTGGTTGCGAACGTCTAAGCCTCCGGGGTAGGCATCTGGCGGTATGCTTCCATCGAAATCCCTCCAGTAATAACCTACGCACAACAATTCGTATTACAAGACCAAGTTACACCCACGTTACCTAAGGGATCTCCTTGCGCGAAGTGTGCAGCACAAAAAACGATCGTCACCACGACACGAAACATTATTAACGATAAACGGAGCAGTTCTGATGACCTTTCGAATCTGCCCTTTATATTGATAATCTCGTGTAAAGTTTGTGGTGGAGGGGATGTAATCGCGGTATAATTCAGTCACGATGTTGGACTTTCCCATATGTAAACATGTATTCTCCAGTGACTCGCCGGTTTTTAGCGCATTTTTGGAAAAAACTACGCTATTATATTCGTAATGGCTGACTGGCTGTCCGGCTGAGATCTCAGCAATTACAATTGCTAGACTAAATTTTCACTAAAAGCTTTCAGTTATGTAGATGTAGATGTGCAGGCTCTCGTCTATTTTGACTTAGATTACTCGTGAGGTCGATAATTTAAAACTTTGCTAATGAATTACTGGTCTACATGACCAAAAAATGCGCTTTCACCATGCATATGCTGATTTACAACTGGTAACGACCTTTTTGATTCCCTAATACATTCGCCTTTATATGCCTTCATTATTTCTTTCTTCTGTTTTATCTCTGTTGCCATTTACTACTGTTCCATCTTTCCAATAAAACTCCTCCATTTTGACTTTGTCCTAATATTGGCTCCGTAACTCTTATGCAAAAATTAAATACGGCGGGGTCTTAAACCCAGTCATTCTATTGCCCAGAACACTTCAGACTCCTTCCCACCTATCCCTACCCTACTTCTTGTCGCTCCATTAACATCTTGATTCTGAGAACTTCGCCCTCTTTCTCTTACTGAGTCTATTCCTATGAATTCAAGTGTAAGTGCCCAGCCATTCTTCCCTCTTTCGTAAGTTGGTACTATTGACCTCTTCTTTACATTCTTTCGGTAGCCTTCCTCCTTTCCATATCGTGTTTATTAGTTTCTTCAATTTCTCCTTGATACGATCTGTGGTAAAAGTCTCTCCCTGTTGCTTTCCCTTCCTTCAGTCTCTATTAGGGAATGCAATACCGGAATCGCGAGATCCCGAAATACCGGGATCCAGCAGCATTCACATAAATGGAGCGGGATCCCGCGGGATTTGCGGGACTGAGGAATCTGTCGACCAAGGGAACGACTCTGTTTGCTTTGTTAATGAAACGCATAACGGAGAAATTATTTTTAAAATAATTGTTAAACTTTTTCGTTAAAAATGTACTACGACTTTTGAGGCACTTTAGAAGTTCGCCTTTTTGTGCTTTACAGGTGAGGTTTTTTTGAGTTCTAAGTTAGGCTGAAGGTACTTTTTTGTTGAATATTGTGATAATTAGCGATTTATTTTAATACAGAACTTAACTGCACAAAATTGCTTATTTGCCAATTTATTTAAAATTTTGCGGGATCCCGCAAATACCGGGATCCCGCGGGATTAACATCTAAGGATCCCGCAAATACCGGGATTGAGATTTTGCTGCGGGATTGCATTCCCTAGTCTCTATAATTGCTGCCCAATACCCTCTCTTGATGTCTCCTTCCACTTACTCTCTTCCCGTTGCCTCTACCACACCTCCTTTTACCTGCTTTTCTTGTAGTACCTTCATCAAGTGCCGCCTCCCACTTATCAAGTTTTTCTTTTTTCCTCTGTTTATCATCTTTCAAATATCCTTCTTTGTTTTTACTTCCCCGATTTGTTCTTCATATTCTTCTCTTTCTTTACCTTTTTTGTTTTTTCAAAGCTTTCTCTTTTCGCGACCGCGGTGCAGCTGTCGGGACTCGACTGCTACGATCGGAATGATACATATTAATTTCCCGTCCCTGTCCATACCAGAGCTGGGTCGAGCGTTCTAAAAAACGATCGAGCGACGAGCGCTCTAATTTTCTCAAAAATGCAATGCGAAACCGCTTGCGAGTTTTGAGCACTCCTAAAAGTGCTCGAGCGGTTTATCGCGAGCGCTCGGGAAAAGCGCTCGTGAGCGGAAATAACGCTTAAGAACGGAAAAGCGCTCGCGAGCGGAAAAAACCGCTCGAGAGCGGAAAAGACGCTCGCGTGCGTGCGTGCGGCGCTTAATCCTTCAGCACTTGAGGGCGGATAAAACCGCTCGTACGCGGAAAAACCGCTCGCGCGTTCGAGCGCCGAGCACTTTAAGTAAACGCTCGAGTATCGAGCACCAAGCTGCCGCTCCGAAAAGTGCTCGCGAGCGGATTGCTCGCAAACGCTTTTTCCGCTTGGAGCGTTTTTTCTAGCAAAACGCTCGCGAGCAGTAACCAGTCCGATCCATACGTATTCCATATTGCTCTCCAACCTCTTTTTTCTGTTAATTAAAGTATCAGCTCTCTCTTTGTTGCATTCCTTATGTCTTGACTTTCTATACTGTGTTCCTCTTCCCAACTTTACTCATTTTTCATTATTCCCTGTTCTCCCCCCCCTCCCTCTCTTTCATCTAATACATTTTATCTTTTGTCTTGGCTTCTTTCATCCCTTCGCTGCTATATGGTCATCCTTTTCACTCTCATTTTTTTTTGCTCCACTTCCACCCATCTTGTTTATATCCTATCCTTTATTTTCTCCCAGTTCATCTACCTTGTCAATCCGTTTTGTTCCTTCCTTCTATTGCTCGTTTCTGTCACCTGCCCTCCCGCCTTTCGGCCCACTGCCTCGTCTTTTATTGTTAAAATCTCCCTCCAAACCCCGCCCTTTCCTGTCATTTCTCTCAGTTCTCACTATTCCTTCTTATTTGTGTTACTCCATCCGTATTCTTCACCTTCTACCACCGATCTTCTACGTTCTTGTTCTTTCTTGTTTCTCCCCCCGCCACCTCTCTAATTGCTCTCTGTGTCCTCCTTTCTTCACCACTCAACTTTTTAACTATGCATAGCTTACTTCCCTTCATAACTTCCTCTATTCTTTTATTATGCTAAATCCGTGACTGTGACTATTACTTTATTTCCTCTTACTTTCATTCCTCTATTAGTTCGCACCTAATTCTAGCTTTTCTTTTAGTCATTCGTCCGTGCTTCCTCTTATTTGCTTTTATTTTCAGTTTCTGTTTTCCCGGCTCTTCCATTTCTTTATCTCATTGCTCTTCCCTTCCCTTGATTTCCTCCTTTGATCCTCTCATTTCTTCCATCTTCTCTTTCATGTTACCTATTTGCTCTGATGTCTCCTTTACGCTTCCTCCCAGTAGTTCTCTCTCTCTCTCTCTCTCTCTCTCGCCCTCCCACCCTTCTCTAGTCCTTCGCTTTCTTCTGCTCCAGTGATCTTATAAGTTTCACACTTCAAACCAATCTCCATTTTTGACTGTGTCCTCTTCGTACTCTCCAGACCCATCCCCGTCTGCGTTAGGGACTTGCATCCCTCTCAGCCTCTTCCGTATGCGAGTCACCCAACGCAATAAAGATATTGGACATCGACCTACGTTCTAGCTATGCAACCTTAAACCCTGGCGGGAGTAATGTGTGTTGCCTATCCGCACTTCACGCCGGAATCTTCCACTAATTCGCTACTCACAATATCTCCTCTACCCCTTTCACAATGTTTATAACCTCGGACTAGTCCGAAAAGTACCTATTTTTTGTACAGTTAGAAAGTCGCCCATTTTATGTATTACGTAATTATTCAAGTGTTTGGAGAAATAGTTATTTATATAACAAGAGCGCGAAGTTCAATTTCGCGCATTGAGACTGAAGGTATTTTGACGAGGCGAAGCCGAGTCAAAATATCAGTCAAATGCGCAAAATAACTTCGCGCTAGCGTTATATACAATATTTTTTCTACAACTGAACCGATTGTTAATTAAATTTGCTGTTTAAGTTCAACTTTGTCCCGTGCGCGAAATACTTTTTTTCACTGTTGACGATTTCGCGCACGTTGTCAAGGGCAACCTTACTTATTAATTAACCGTTTAAAAATCCAGTACTTCGCGCTTCGAAATTCGTCAGAAAAATGACAAGTTTGTTAGAAAAAAGTATTTTGTTTTGCCATTTGTTGCACTGTTATCATTTCCAATGTCTCCGAAGGTTGCAAGGATTGCGAAATCTGTGAATTTTTTTATCAGATAGGGTGAACACTTGAGAGTCTACTTTAGTACCGACTTCCTGATAAGAAACACAAAATAATTGCGCCTATTCAATTCCATATCATTGATATCGTCAAAAATAAAAGATTATAATCATTCACTTATCCTCCTGATAAACGCAAATAACATCGAGGGAAGGCGATCACTCCAAACAAATTGGAAATTGTTTCTTGTCATCGATAAAGGAAAAGTTGCCGGTAATAGTTTGTTGGTTAGAAAAATGAAGATTAATCCTACAATTCTTCTAGCTCAGACTAAAGCATTAGAAACGTATGCAGCGTGTTCTTCCTCCTCAAAGTAGAGACCACATTGATTGTTGTCCTCAGCTACTCCGATTTTGTTGAGTTCAAGGAGCAGTGTCCAGTTATCAAAATTTGCCGCTTTCTCAGACATCCAAATATTTTTGTTCTTCTGAAATGCGACAATTACCCATCGAAGTGGTTTTTGTAGCTGCGTTGAAGTTCTGATAGGACATATATCCATCGGTGCTTGCTTAAGTGCCGGAAGTTCATACAGATCCCATTGTCGGACAGGTATACTAATTGAAACATTCTCATCAATAAACTTTATTTGTGCATCAGCCTCGGAATGATAACACTCAACATCGCATCAGGATTAAAAACCCGTATTTCGATGAAATATGAAAAAGTTACGTATCCGACTTGATGGTAGCTTCATCAAAATGTACGTCTTGAGAAATATTTAAGGTTTCGGCCATTTTTCCACTTTTAAACCGATTGATCGCAAAAAATGTTTTATCGAAGGAACTTAATTCCTCCCCTTGTTTTGTATGCGACGAGTACCGACCTCGAATCAACATAGAATTGATATTGTTGGCTCTTTTCCATGCATCTCCAAAGGATGCTAGAAAACGTGCTCGATAATTATTCGTTTAATTCCAATCCGTTTGTGCACGTTTACAGGAGAAAGTTATTGTCTATAGCGCGTTCGCACCTCCAGATGCAGTACGGGGTCTTATGGACTAATTGCATCTCTTACTAGTTTCCGTCATTCTTCCATAATACTATCCTTGTTTCTAACCGCATTGATGTCAAATTGACATATGATTAAATTGAAGTATTAAAACAAAACATAATCTCCTTGTGCTGTCATTGTTACGTTTGGCAAGCATGTACTGTATGTCCATAAGCACCATACTGCATCTGGAGGTGCGAACTCGCTATAGTAATTGGATAATATGGAAGTACAGTTCATTCGAGTAACTACCTTCCTTCCATTGTTCCCTGCAGATGAATAATATGTTTGGTTGGAATGGGAACAAATGGAGAGTCTGGTTCTAGGTCACCAGACGATTGCCCCATATCACAGCATAGACAGTGTACAGCCACAAGACAACCTTCGGGGATGGTTCTAAAGTTTCCCAATTATTGTGCGGCGACTTTCCCACAAATGCTTTTTCGGCTTTGACCTGGATATGTTTGTTCCAATTCAGTTTTTGTAAAGTGTGATTCCTAGATATTTCACTGCACACATGTTCTACCCTTTATATGGTATTCTAATGAAAGGTCTCATCGAAATAAATTGGTTTGTGCAAAGTATACCTTTCCCGTGTGACTCTTTTTCGTGATCAGTGAGCGACGGGGCCTGAGGGGGGGGGGGGGGGGGGGGTTAAAATTAATTAATTAAAAATTTCTTCTACCAACTACTGCCCTTCTTTCTGTCTCTTAAATCAAAGTACGGAGAGAAGGGGGGGGGGAGAGGGAGTACTTCATGGTACTCTAATGAAAAGTCTCAACGAAAGGAATTAATTTCTACCAACCATAGCCCTCCTCCTGATCGGGTATATTCTCTTATACCTCAAGAACGGATTGTCGGAAGAGGGTACTCACAAAGGGCGATTGAGACGTCCGCAAGAAATATATCCATTGGTGATGTCAAAACAAAAGCTATTTTTTTATATTGTGTTCCGGTTGCAAAATGGTACAATTATCTCCCCTGATTGCGTATCAGTAAATTATCAGTCGAGATGCTAGTACATATATCTACGGATTGATATTTGTTTAGTATCAAAAGCAAAATAAGTAAAATAACACCACAAACGGGATGGAATTTTTAACCATTTTTACTCTTTTTCTCATAGCAGGTGGCGTTATATGTGAGCCTCTCAGCAAAGATCCAGGTAAGTAGACATTCAGTTTAAAAATGAAATAGCTCGCATTTTGTCATAGATTATTACTGGCGATACTACTTCGGCAGGATGCCTGAAGATGCACTTCTTGGAGGTTACGATCAGGCGGGAAAGCCCAAGTACGTTGGCCAGTTGTATCATAATTTCAAAATGATTCCTTCTTATGCCGGCGGAAAAAGTCTCCAAGAGCAGTTACATGGAAAAGTGGAGATCCTGTGCACTCGTAATCCTTGCAGATATAAGTGGATTCCTACAAATTCAACACACATTCGCAGCCTAGAATCCCAATATACATTAATTAGTGGGGGCTATGATCACGAACGTAGCGTATATTTCGGAAGAGTAAATTTCGATATGGAACTTCGTATTGGTCCAGTTTACCTTGATGGTCAAAACTTCAACTTCGAAATTCCGCACCTAGACGGACAACGCATTTTTAAAAGTTATCAAGTCTTAGTTTACGACTATAAAAATCAAGAGTGTGTTAGATCATAAGAAATAGTAATACCCAAAATCAGTAATTTTTGAATAAATTTTGCCATCTATATACCTCTTAGATTAAGTGTAATTCTTCTGTCCATCATGTGCACTGTTCAATTGACAATCATTATTGAAAATTAGTGTCCGTTATTGAAGGATTTTGAGATTTCTGGGGTCTTGGGTACATCTGAGGGGTCTGACACCAAAATGTGAAGGCGAGAGGAGGTTGTTTATCTCGACGTGTTCCCTGAGAGGTTAGGCGACTATTTGCTCGAAGCATTTACCGATGCAACTAGCTAAGGAGGGAGATGGGTTTGTAGGAGGATACGTTGGTGGGCTTGTCCTTTGGTTCGGGGATCATTGCTACTGAGGGGTTGGCAAGTGGGGAAGTTGTAGGCATCGGGTAAATATCACTCTGGGAAGCAGGTCTTAACAAGTAAGGCTGTTCCGCGGTGGCCGTCCAGGGGGCTGTTTTTTTGGTAGGTAGTGAAGTTTCTGACGGAGATGGCACTGTGTAAATAAACTAAATAGAATATATAAACTAAACAAAATAAATAAAATAAATAAAATAAATAAAATAAATAAAATAAATAAAATAAATAAAATAAATAAAATAAATAAAATAAATAAAATAAATAAAAAATAAATTAAAATAAATAAAATAAATAAAATAAATAAAATAAATAAAATAAATAAAATAAATAAAATAAATAAAATAAATAAAATAAATAAAATAAATAAATAAAATAAATAAAATAAATAAAATAAATAAAATAAATAAAATAAATAAAATAAATAAAATAAAAATAAAATAAATAAAATAAATAAAATAAATAAAATAAATAAAATAAATAAAATAAATAAAATAAATAAAATAAATAAAATAAATAAAATAAATAAAATAAATAAATACGAAGCGAGCGGGTTCCGGGAGGGATTCGGGTTCGGATGCTGTGGATTGGGTGTCTGCTGGCTTGGGCGAATTGCGGCTTCGGAGGGCAATCGAAAGAATACGTCGGGTGAGGCGCTTCGCACTTATTGCATTTGGGTTGGGTTTTGCATAGGCTTGTTTTATGGCTTCGGGCGCACGTGGGACATATGGTTGAATTCGTTAGGACATTCGGGTGCTAGGTGACCGAGTTTTGTGCACTGGGAGCAGGAGGGTTCGCAGGGGGTAGTGTCTTCCAAACATGGAGACACCTTGGTGAGCAGGGTTTCAAGGGTGGTTTTGAAGGTAGTAATTATTGTGATGAATATTGCGGGTTGGTTTGGTGGTACGGGAAACTATACGGGTTACTCTAGTCATGCGAGGTAGGGAGATAGCGTCAAGGATTTTGGGTTCGGTGGCGTCTCGTGTCGACGTTACGAAAAACGCAGGAAAAGGTCTGGGGTCTGGGGGAATGGGTCTGGGTTCTGGAGCCTGTTAGTTGGGAGAAGGAAATGTTGGGGTCACCGAGGTGATGTTGGAGCTTTGGTGCGTGTATTTATTTATTATCTATTATCTATACTCTAACCCACTATACATTTACAAATATTCATGCCCGAACCCGGATTCGAACCAGGGATCCTTAGCACCACAGTCCATCTTTAACTGAACTGCGCTACACGGGCTGGATGCAAGTGTTGTGGTTTGAGGCTTCCGTTGGTGGTAGTTCCTGCATGTTGTTTCGGAGTTGTGTGACGAATGTCTCTGGTTCCGTGCTCCTCTCGCTTGACCGTTTTTCGAACATTTCACCGAGAAGTTTTAAACCTTGTCCGTACACCTTCTTTGCTGCGGTTGTCTTTCCATGCGTGGTACAGGTGAGCGGTACGCTACCTTCCTCCGAGCGTTTGGACGTTCCTTCCGGACGTGGCGAGGAATGGCATGGACTTTTCTAATCGGTGCATGCAATCACGTAGTTAGCGCTCCCGTACTATGAAAGCACGGGACCTTCTTGCCAGGTTATATATGAGCGCTGGTCTTTGCGATTCTTCAACCCTACTATAGAGCAGCCGGACTGAGAATGAATCTTCTTCGCTGCGCACGGTCTTATAAAAGCATCAAAACACACCATTCAAGAGATCTGAATGATTACTCACAGTTCCATATCGTTATTCCCCGTTGTTCCCATTGTCATCGCCCGAATTCCAAACACCTGCATTCATTATCTTACACGTGGCGTTGTTAGTAAACAAGGTCAATTAATTTGTCCGATAACGTCTTTTTACGTCGAAAGTACGATTAACAATTCTGGATAGCTCCTTATAGATACTCTGACGTACTGAAAATTGAGCTATAGTAGGAGAGCTGGTAGACATTTTTGGGTAGGTATTGCGGCAGGCTGAAACTTGTGCAATACTTTTCCAATAATACCGAAATACAAAAATGCAGACCTGGCTGGGGGGAAGCGGGGCTAAATCAACTATTTATATTTTTAAAGATACGAATTTTTTTTCAAAAAATGTTCTTGAGGCACTGAAATTTTCATTTACTTATAAATTTAATATTTTACGAGCAGAAAAATAAGTATGCCAGACCATTTAGTGGGGCCTTACACCTTGCCAGGCGCCTCCAAAGTTTGAAGGAATATAATAATTATGTTTACTGGCCGTGTCCTCTTTCTCGGGGCAACTGGCTGTTAAGTGCCCGAAGCTGTAACATCTAAAACACCTGTTAACGTGGATGTTTTACTCCCCTTTTATTCTGGCGAGGTCCAGATTAACATACTCGATTTTTTGAATATTTTTAAAGTCCCAGGGATTCAGCCCTATTACTCAGTTCACGCGCTGGGGAATGCGACTCCACCTTTTTCCTGCTATTTTGATCCTGTATATTTGGCCACTTCCTCAAATACCGGCCGTCGTTTTGATTTAGGAGGCTCTGTGGCGTCCACCCCTGTCAGTATCAGTCGCGGATGTAATGACCCCAACTCTCTGGTGGAATATTGTTCCGGATGTTTGTTCAAAGCGTTCGCCCGAGCTGCTTGTTGTTTTCGATTCTGACTGTCGATGAGTCCACCTTCTGGTAACTTTCTATTTGACACAAACCACCTCTTTGGCGCTTACGTGTTGCCTTAACTGCTTTAATGTTTGGGGTCATTCGCCTCTTTCTTTGTGGCGAAGATACCTTTCCCGACTTTCGGTTTTAGAGTCCCGTTGGTCACCAATTTGGTAGCTTCAGTAAAACTGACCCTCACTTTCGGCGTAAGTTCAGGCGTTTTTGGAGCTGGGATCTGGGCACCACCCGCAGGTTGTACGAGGTGATCCAATAAGACTGTTCCTCGGCCATATCTCGGGAACCGTTCGTCGTATGACTTAGGGGTAAAAAAATTATTGGGTGAATCGGTCATGAAGAATCGCTAGAAAATAGTTCTAAAAATGACTAACAGAGGGCGTAACCCCCATCTTAAATTTTAAAATTGCATTTTTTTAAATTTCGCATAATAAACTAAAAACATTTTTTCGCATTTTCAAAGAGAACCAGTTTATCTATCATTTTCGTAAAAACCAAAAACCAGTTATCTCAAAAACAAAGATCGTGTTGAGCGTTCAATTGTTTTTGCAATAACCTGCTTCAACTTCTTAACCGTTTGAACGATTTTAACAAATTTGGTATGGTTGAAAAGAGCATTCGTTGGGCAATGAGAATCAACCAAAATATAGTTATTTAGTTGACTCCTTCTCCGCCAGGGGGCTAGTTTTGACACTATGACCCAAAGTCCTAAAAGAATCAAAAAAATTAAACGGAATGATATGACTTTTTATTTATGAAAAAGTACCCAAATAACATCCAAAGAGGCCAGTGAAAACCGTTTTTCAAAATCTCGTTCCTAACCTCAAACATTGTGAAAAGAGATTAATTAATTAATTTTAATTAAAATGCTTAAATTGTACTTAATTTACTTTTTACGTATTTCCGGTGTTTGTCGATGGCGCGAAAGAAAAACACCCTACACTTTTAGGTAGGCCTTGGAAAATTAAACAAATGAAACACGATGCATTATAAAATAATAACAGCCAGAATGTGTAAATTAATCTGCTGTGTTTACATTCAGAAAGTGCAGTTTTTTGAATTTGTAATCTTTTCTAAAATGCCGAAGCATTTAATATGCTGGCGATATATTTTGAGTATTTTCAAAATGCGACCATCGCTGCTTGCATCTTCTATTTGCGTTATCCGAATCGACCACGAATCATCGCCGTCAGCATACTAATTGCTTCTTGGTCAGAAATCGGCGTTTTAGAAAAGACTACACATTCAAAAAGCTGCACTTTCTGAATGTAAACACAGCGGAATAATTTATAAATTACGGCTGTTATTATTTTATAATGCATCGTGTTTCATTTGTTTAATTTTCCAAGGCCTACCTATAAAAGTGTAGGGTCCTTTTCCAAACAATCTTTCGCGCCATCGACAAATACCGAAAATACGTCAAATAAGATACAAAATTGAAGCATTTTTAATAATTAATTAATTAATCTCATTTTCCCAATATTTGAGGTTAGGATCGAGATTTTGAAAAACGGTTTTCATTGGCCTCTTTGGGTGTTATTTGGCTACTTTTTCATAAAGAAAAAGTCATATCATTCCATTTGATTTTTTTGATTTTTTTAGGATTTTGGATCATAGTGTCAAAACTAGCCCTCTGGCGGAGAAGGATTCAACTAAATTAACTATATATTGACTGATTCTTGTTGCCCAAGGAATGCTCTTTCAATGATATCAAATTTGTTAAAATCGGTCCAACGGTTAAGAAGTTAAAGCAGGTTATTGCAAAAACAATTGAACGCCCCACACCATCTTTGTTTTTTAAATAACTGTGTTATTGTTTTCACGAGAATGATAGATAAACTGGTTCTCTTTAAAAATGGGAAAAAAGAATGTTCAGTTTATTATGCGAAATTTAAAGAAAATGCAATTTTAAACTTTAAGATGGCAGTTACGCCCTCTGGTGGTCATTTTTAGAACTTGAAAATATTTTCCAGCCTTCATGACCGATTTGCCCAACAATTTTTTTACCCCTAAGTCATACGACGAACGGTTCCCGAGATATGGCCGAGGAACTGTCTTACTGGGTCACCCGGTACACTCGGAGTGTGCACAATGACCTGCCCCTGGTTCCCTTGAAAACGTTGCTTCATCCCCTTGATAGCCTGCTTATAATTTATTTGGTTCGCCTAGTACACAATTGTGGTAAGGGATATCATGATCTCGTTAATATTATCAATACTTGATCCCTGATAGTGGTTTGACCTTGTCTTTGAGTTGAGGTCTTTGGAGAAGGATCTAGCAATACCGCAAGTCATTGAAGCACAATATTCATAAACGAGGTTTTTACAGAGACAACCTCATCGGTTACAATATCCGAGTGGGTATACGCCGTATACCCTCGACTGCTGGTAGCACTGACTACTTTTGTTTCTTGTCCTTTCCATACCATGCTCGAAATGTGGGGAAGGCTGGGTTACAATTGCGTTATTGGCCGTAATGTTATTGTATTGTGGGCATGGTGCTTTTTCCCAAGAAATGTATTTGGAATTGCGACTGTATTATGACCACTTATTTTTTAAGTATCGATAAAACGAAGATACCAAATATCCGGTAGAGATAATACTATAACATTGTTGTGTACTTGTCTTGTTTACGCTGTATTGCAAATGAAGCAATTTTCCAAAATCACCTAGGTGATAGCACCTAATCTAATCTTCCTACTCACCAAAAGGTATAAGAAGGTGTATTCCAATACACTAGTTGTTTTTTACGCTAACCATCCCATCTCTAGCTATAAAACGCGCCTGGTAAAGTTCCTGTTGATAACAATGCTTTTTCTAGCAACGGCTGTTATCTTTAGCAGCGCAAGTTTTGCGCAAGGATATTCGTTCGGTAATTAACTACTTACTACCTGTACTTGAAATAGTGACTACTATATTCTTCTAGGTTACTACTGGAGAGATTTCAATGGAACCGTGTCACCAGATGCCTTCCCAGGCGGTATGGACGCCAAAAATCAACCAGTCTACGTTGCCCTAGCGTACGATAAATATTTAATAGCTGCCCAAATCTTCACCAACGACAACAACGCCTACTACTCGTACGGGGCACTAGAACATGGTGTAAAAATTAATAACAAGGTAAAATCATTTCATCCAAATCGATTTCTGTGGTACGTGACCTTTGTAGATTCTCTGCACGGAGTACCCCGAGCAGTTCGAGTGGATCCCGACGGATGCAAACGCTCTCAAGAAAATCACTGATAAGTACTTGCTCAAGGGAGGCTGGGAGCCGAATCTCACCCTGTACATCGGTAGGGCGAAATATGGAAATGAGGTCCTGGTCGGGAAGGTGCTGGCCGATTCAACCATTGATGGCTTGTACTTTACCAGAAACGGGAAAACACTTCATACTAAAACGTTTGATGTGCTCTCTTTTAAATCGAACCAATTTAAGGGTATATTAGGCGTGCGTAGTGGTAGGTAATGTTTTTCAATGAAATTGTTTTGTAAACGAAAATGTCGTCAAATTATAATGTGCTAAAGCTTTTTAATTAAACGGAATTATACATTTAATTGTGACACAATTGAAGGAAATATGTCTCCTAAAAATTGAAAACAAGTATAAATTGTTTTAACCGAAATAGCTTTTGTTTTGACATCACCAATGGATATTTCTTGCAGACGTCTCAATCGCCCTTTGTGAGTACCCTCTTCCGACAATCCGTTCTTGAGGTATAAGGGAATATACCCGATCACGATAAGAGGTGGAGGAGAAGGGCTATGGCTGGTAGACCATGAAGGATAAAACTAGACCCCCCCCCCCTTCCTCCCTGTATTTTGATACGAGGTCAGAAAGAAAGGCAGTAGTTGGTAGAAAACGGTTCCTTTCGTTAAGACCTTTAATTATAATACAATGAGATATAAAATTAATTTTTAACCCCCCTCACCCCCATTTTCTAAAGTTTAACTTGGCACCACTGCATGCGTATGCAAAATCTGAAACCAATAATTGGTTGTTGTATGTAAAAGTTATGCACGTTTTACTTTCAAAAACAGCATCTCAGGAAATAATAAAAATAATAAAAAGACGAAAAGGTCAATTTTCGATTTTATTTTTTTTTGGTTTACTGATTGTTTTGAACACTTTTACATGCTCTGCTTAAAAATAATTTTACTTTTCCGATACGAAGTTTCGTTTTTTAAATACCATCATCAACCTAATTTTTTGGCGCATTTTTTAAGAATAAAAAAATTTGTTATTGTTTGCGTTTTATCCGTCCGTTCGTCCGTCCGTCTGTCCGGACCCACTTCTGCCGTTTTGAACTACTGTAGGGAATAGTCCTAGAGTCCTGGAATTTTGTGCAGTAGGTAGCCTATACCTTGAAGGTGTGCCAGACGGCCATCAAATTTCGCTGTCTAAAAGCCCCCCCCCCCCAGAATTATCTCCTAAGATGCTGTTTTTGAAAGTCAAACCTGCATAACTTACATACGACAACCAATTGGTCTCAGATTTTGCATACGCATGCCTTTAGTGGTCCCAAGTTAAACTTTAGAAAATTGGGGGGGGGGTAAACACATGTTCTACCCTTCACGGTACCAACTACTCCCCTTCTTTCTGTCTTATCAAAGTACGGGGTAGAGGGTGAAGAGGGGGAACTAGTTTTATCCTTCATGGTACTCTAATGAAAGATCTCAACGAAAGGAATTAATTTCTACCAACCAAAGCGCTCCTCCTCGACCTCTTATCGTGATCGACTATGTTCCCTTATACCTCAAGAACGGATTGTCGGAAGAAGGTACTCACAAAGGGCGATTGAGACGTCTGCAAGAAGTTGTGCACAATTTATACTTGTTTTACATTATACGCAACAACATTCAAAATTTGTAAAATAAGTACCTACGTGACTCAGTTAGAAGACCTCCGTTATTTAATATTGAACTTAAAAAAAATAGAAAATTTAATGTAGTGAGTTAATTAGAACAGCTCGTTAAAATAAGAGGCCGTATTTAATTTGCCGTCTGCAACCGTTCTCGTAGGAATATTTAAATTATTTTTACAGCCGCCAGCATTAAACCGGCAAGTTCGTGCAGTTAAATGAAAATATCAACAGGGGAGATAACAGATTTCGCCGCTTGACCTCACATTCCAAGGAACAAAAGAGAAATGCCGGACTGCCGAATTTGGTCGATTCATTGCATGGGAAGGTACTTGGCGCTCGTCTGACGGAAGAGTAGGCAGAGTTAATACGTGTAATTTTATGATGATTTCGATCCGCTCGTAATCAGGTCGGAATTTTGAACCCCCAATGGTTTAAAAAAAGGGGTTGGTCAGCGCGGTATAGTGAAGTTTATTTGCTGAACGAGTAAAGATGGCATCAATTGGCGCCATTTTGTAGGCGTATTTTGTACAAATTGAGAAAGTAGGAATGAACTAGAGGGAGATATTTTGGTGGCGTTACGCGAAACTTTGATCAACTATTTGTAATATCGTACTCGCCTTAATTGGACGAAATATGCCAGTTTAGCTCACATAAAACAGTTTTGTTGAATTTTCTACTAGAATTTTTAAAATTTTTTTAGAATTTGTAAAATTCTAGAATAGTAGTTTACACAAAATTTGAAGTAATTTACGCGGAGAAGAAAATCACGGTAGAATTTTAGTGTATACTACTAGTATTTTGTACAATTACCTAAAATGTTTAGAATTTTCGAGAATCTTTTCAAAATTTTTTAGAATCTTAGAACCTTTTTTGAATTTTCTACAGAACTCACATGTGATACAATGCTACTACTACCATTTTGTGGAATTTTTAGAACCTCTTAGAATTTGTCTAAAATTTTTTTAGAATTTTTTAGAACTTCTTTTAATTTTTAAAAATTATTTTGAATTTTTTTTCGAACGCACATGTAACTTTTAGAATTCCCTAGAATTTTTACAAATTTTTTGAATGCTAGAATTATGTACTATACACACAATTTAAATTGTCGAGAGGGGAAAATCACTATAGAATTTTGGTATACGCTGCCATATTTTCATGTGATGTTCAGCAATGTGACGATCTTAAAAATGTTATGCCCAAGAACCTAATTAAAGGTGTCAATGAAAGGAACAGTTTTCTACAAACTACTGCCCTTCTTTCTGTCTTCTTATCAAAGTACGGGGTGGAGCGGGAAGGGGGGAAGGAGGGTGGAACTACTTTTATCCTTCATGGTACTCTGGAATCAAACTACTTCGGTAGCTAGAGTGCTGGTAATTCTTTTTGTTTGGTAGTGAGTACAGGGTGTGGTTTTTTCAGGGGTCATGCTTAATTTCTACCAGTGGTAGATTCAAAACTCATGCATTCGATTAATTTATGGTTTAAGGCGATATGCCCATGTCTCCCACAAATTAAATGAACTAAATTGGTTAAATATGAAGAACAGGAGACTTGTGCACGCTGCCTCCTTATACCACAAAATAATTCTGAATAAATCTCCACAGTATTTGTATGAGAAAATCAATTTCAGTTCCAATACCAGGTTTTCGGTGCTGATCACTCCGCCGATGCATAAAACGGTATTTTATGAGCGTTCCTATAGTTATAACATTGCCCATCTATACAATTCTCTACCAAACTCATTTAAAAAGCTTAGCCCCAAACAATTTAATTTATATGTCCAACGTTTCATACTTGACCGCCAGATCCGTAATCAATGAACATCTGATTAGGAACATATATATTATATAGTAACAGTAATCCTATTTAATATCATTCTCGTTACGTCCATAATCATTTCATAATTTTTGTACCGCACTGGTAATTTTCATTATTTAGTTTTTATTATTTATAATTAGAAGCCATCTGTCATCCCTTTATAATGTAAGTAATATACTGGGTTAAGTGGAAGAGCAGAGGCAGTGGGTTTCACTACTGTCATCTGAACTTCGCCCAATTAGTTACACGATTTTTTTTTCTGTTATAAATTTTGTTGCAAGATGTGTAACTAATAAAAGACATTATTATGGTCGGTGTATCTTGTGAGAACTCAGGTCTAGCCTGGTTAACTAATCGCACGGATTAAAATCAAGTAACGATTAGTGTCTGTGTCTGGTGAAGTTATGTAGGGTCCTAAAAAAAAAAAAATAAAAAAAAAAATAAAAAAATAAAAAAAAATAAATAAAAAATTAAAAAAAAAAATTATTATTATTATTATAGATTATAAAATAAGAATTTGATTTTATGTACTCTTTGGAAACGTGTTGGTAATACTTTCCAAAGAAATGCTCAGAAAACTTTTAAGAAATCAATAAATCGATTTAATTCAATCAAACGCTGCATGTACTTACCTATATAAAACTTTGGCTTTTCAATTTGGTAGTGTATTTTCGTTTCTATTGATAGCATAATATATAAAAAATATTGAATAAGGAATACTATGGTACATAGGTATAAATGAGTATAAAGTATAATTGTATTTTATATGGGCTAGTAGGCGGTTATTTCTGTGTAATACGATCATTGGACAACGTTATAATTATTTATGTAGATTAGGAGTGCAGGAGTGAACCTTTAATTATTAGAATTTGCGTTCCTAATTTTCAGGAAAACGAAACGCCAAAAAAGTTTTGGTTTTCATTTTCGCAATATTAATATTAATATTACATAAGTATTGAATTTTTTTGAAATAAAGTTTAGTTTTCTGACTGTAATTCTCAAACCAATTGAAATTTTTTTTTCAAAATTGTTCATTTTGTGTAGAATTATATTAGTTTACTACACTAAAAATTTCAACAAATTCGGTTCACTGGTTCGCCTGAAAATTAGGCACGCAGTTTCTCCATAACATGATTAATATTTTTTGTTTCTTGTTTCCAACTGATCTTTCACTATTATAGCCGTCACGCTTGCACTATTGGACTGCCAACCACCATGGCGCTATATTTTCAAAAGATCCTCTCCTGTATTTGCCAAGACTGCATTCGCAGCAGCCTGTTCAGCTTCAGCACTTTGTTTATGACATCTTTAGGCGATTGCCATAAATAAACCTTGATTTGGAATTTTGAATAAATTGTGGATTGTTTTCGGTTTTGAGCAGTTGTAGATAAAGTTTTTTTTATCTCATTCGTAGACTAGAGCATATTACAGCAACTCGTGCAATCTTCACACTCGTAGTGCTTCTATCTCACTAATAAGATAAATAACTATTATCATATCATTGAATTTACTATTATGTTTTTGTACCTAAATATATCTTGGTCGTATATGTTTGCCCATAAGTGCATTTTCGCAAGAACAATTTGGAATTACGACTGTATTATATGATTACTTATTCTTAAGTATCGATAAGATACAGATACCAAAAATCCGAAAGAGATAATTCGATCATTTTGTTGTGTACTAGTTGACTTGTTTACCTAATGTCTATAATGTATTCCAAATGAAGATATTTGCGTGACCATGCATCTTTAACCGTAATTTGTGCCGCGTTAATCTTCGGTAACAATGTTTTTGTAAACAAATTTCCAAAATCTGGTACATATAATAACACCTAATCTAATCTTTCTACTTACCAACAGGTATAAATAGGTATGGACTGCGTCACAATCTGGTATTCCAATACATCGACTGTTTTTTTACGCTGACAGTATTCGTAATCCCATCCAGCACTTTGCGAGAAAATAATCCATAGCTACCTCGAAAAGGTCGTGTTGTTAATAACAATGTTTCTTCTAGCAACGGCTGTTATTCTTAGCAGCGCAAGTTTTGCGCAAGGAGGCCCTTCCGGTAACTTGTACTTACTACCTATACCTACTTGATAATAGTGCATTATTCTCCTAGGTTACTACTGGAGAGATTTTGATGGAACCGTGCCACCAGATGCCTTTCCAGGCGGTGTAGACGCCAACAATAGACCAATCTACATTGCTCAGGTGTACGCAAAAAACATATTAATGCCGGCCAAAATTTACTTCAACGACAATACCGCCTACTACGAGTACGGGAATAAAGAACTTGGCGAAAAAGACAATGTCATGGTAAAATCACTTCATTCGCTTCAATTTCTTTGCTATACGCGACCTTTGTAGATTCTCTGCACGGAACATCCCGAAAAATTCGAGTGGATCAGTACGGAGGGTAAGAGCATTAGGAATATCACTGGCAAGCACTTGGTCATAGGCGGTTACCAAGAAGAGAAGTCCGCCACATACATCGGTAGGACACGAATTGGTGGTGAGGTCGTGGTCTCGAAGGTGGTAATCTATACCCCTGCCAGAGCTGAATATGACGCCTTGTACCTTATCAGCAAAGGGGTTCAACATCATGTGTTTAGTTTTGACGTGCTCACCTTTCAATAGTAGAAACTTAGTGATATTTGTAAACGAAGATGTCGTGAAACTATAATGTGCTAAAGCTAGCTTTTTAATTAAATGGAACTACGAGTATAAATTTCTTATTGACACCATCCACCACTCCAGAGAAAACACGTAATTAGAGGAAGGAAACTTGTGTACTGCCCCGCGGTCACCAGCTGCAACGTGTCGTCCGCGAACGCGATAATTTCACAGCCCGACGGTAGGCGCGTCCTAAAGACTGTGTTGTAGAGCACTTTCCAGTACACCGACCCGCTGCAACTCCCTTGGGGGCTTCCTTCTTCACCGCCTCATTTACCAACGCCACCATCGCTTTCCTATCTTCGAAGGAGCTCTTCGCCAAGCGGATGATGTTCCGGGCAGTTCGCTTCTCATCATCTCCCATATGATTGCTGGGGTCCAGGGATTGTCAAACGTGCCCTTGATGTCGATCGACACCACCATGTAGTAGTATCCCCTGGCTTTTGCGGCCTTGATGGTGTCCACCGCCCTCCCGATTGCCGGAGTGAATCGGTACTGAGCTGCATTTAACCTCCCCCGTGCTGATCAACCAGTACTCGATACGAGTAGCCATAATTCTGTCCAGGGTGTTGCCTATGATTGGCAACAGGCTGATTGGCCGGTAGCTGGTCGTGTCCTGGACATCCTGCCTCCCTGGCTTCCTCACGAAGCTCACTACATGCCTTTTCCAGCACGCTGGAAGCTTTCCCTCCCTCGAGCATTTGCTGAAGAGGTCGGTCCACAGGTCCGGCGTCTTCGTGAAGGCCCTCAGCCGTTACCCCGTCGTATCCCGGGGCTTTCCGTGCATTCATCATTCTTTCTGGGACCTCTGTATTTTTATTATGAGTCTGTCATCCCCCCCCCCCTCCCCTCTATCGTCTCTCTGCAGGTTCCTCTTATCGCCTTGTTCACATCGTTGACGGTTGTTGATTCGTTCCTCGGGAAGAAGGCATCCAGCAGTGCCTGCGCGGTGTCTCTGGCCCCGGTCGCAAATTTCCGTTCGCTATACAAGATAGTGATCGGTTGCACGAACTCGTATAGGATATGGAAGCAGTGAATGTTTTTACATATCCTATCCGATTTCGTGATTTGCAAGCGGAATACCTATAGCATATTTGCTAAACAGTGTCAAGTTATAAAAGAAGTGAAGTGAAGAACACGCAAAGAAAAATGTAAAACTGCGAACAAAATTTAGACCCGAATTTTGCGAAGTAGATGCAGTTAACTGGATCAAAGATTATTCAAAAGTTACAAAATCAAACTGGATTGTCCAACGGAATTACCAAGATCCAAAAAAATCGTAAAATATTTCATACTTTTCATTATTTTTTGTCTGTATGCAAAATGCCCTTTATTACTTGGTTCCAATGTTTTGAAAATGCAAATGAGGATAGTGCAATGTTCACATTACACATAATTGATCACGATCACGAAATCGGATAGGATATATAAATACATTCACTACGGGTCCGTGAAGTTGGAGTGTCGACTTGAAAGGAATTAAGTTCCAAGTATCTCATAATTTTGTACTCATTTTGTGCTAATTTGTGCTGCCAATTTAAAATTTTGTGCTCATCAGGTTAATGAGTAATTCAACTTTCTCTGATGACACTCCAACTTCACGCTTGAGTGTCAACATCGATATTTTCAAAATTTTCTTTTACTATAATTTTGTGCTCATTTTGTGCTAATTTGTGCTGCTAATTTAAAATTTTGTGCTCATCAGGTTAATGGGTAATTCAAATTTTTCTGAAGATACTCACTGTAGTGTCAGTTAGTTGGATATTGCCATCGCCGTTTTTTTGGAAAAAATTTCATCAAATGTCGACATTTTAGATCATTTTAAGCAACTTCTAAATAATAAATTTTTTCTGCCTGTGGGTACGTACCGTACGTACTATGTACAGTGTGGTCCAATTTCGATGGGATTAAGTGGGTAATTTTCTTATTAGCGCAGATAAACGAAAACGGTTTTAGTACTCGTGTCCTTATTTTTTATGCTTATTCCATTACCTTTGCCGGAAATAAGCTGCCGTCTTTTGTTTTTTCACTAGAGAGAAAAAGTGAAAAATGTTGAAGCTAGAACAAAATGGCTTTAGCATTATTCAAGCAGTTTTTAATGTAGATAACCAATGTCGTCAGTCGTTTGTTTCTAGACCTTTTAATAACCAACCTTTTATTTATTTATTATTGTCTTTATTTTATAGTGGGCGGCAGAGTTGGACTGGGTCACTGGGTCACTGGGTCAACTGGGTCACCTGGGTCACTAAATTAAACTGGGTCACTGGGTCGCTGGGTCACGTCATACTCTTTTCAGTTAGACCCAGTGACCCAGTTGACCCAGTGACCCAGTTTGACCCAGTGACCCAGTTTGACCCAGTGACCCAACTTGACCCAGTGACCCAGTTGACCCAGTGACCCAGTTTGACCCAGTGACCCAGTTTGACCCAGCGACCCAATTTCACCCGGGGACCCAATTCGACCCAGTCACCTAGTTTGATCGAATAACGCAGTTAAGTCAGTGCCCTCGGTTCAAGTGTACAGATTATGCAATAAATGAAATGCTGGTTTGTTGAAAATAATACTCGATTGCTTGACAACTGCCATTTCTGTGATGTTTGCTTTAATACTGCCGTAAAAAACTTTCCATGTCGCGAATTGTATTACAATAATGTTATTTCTTTGCTCCAGGGCTTACCAGTTTGCTTACAGTGGTGTTCATTCACATTTAATTTTTTTCTACTATGTAGTTAGCTTAATCCAAATAAATCTTTTCTCTAAATACTTTCATTGACTACTTGACTACAAACTATAAACAAATGCATTTGATTTTTTTAGGTATTAGTTCTCTTGAATGAAATTGGGCTACGTGCTTGTTGCCGAATATTATTGAGGAAGTTTTTTTTAAATTAAAAGTTACTTGAAATTGTTTTGGATGATAACTAACAATAATTTAATTACTGGGCTACCGGGTCAGGACGGGTCACTGAGTAAAGCTGGGTCAGGATGGGTCACTGGGTCAAGCTGGTCACCGGGTCAAGCTGGGTCACCGGGTCAAACTGGGTCAAGCTGGTCACCGGGTCAAGCTGGGTCACTGGGTCAAGCTGGGTCACCGGGTCAAACTGGGTCAAGCTGGGTCACCGGGTCAAGCTGGGTCACTGGGTCAAACTGGGTCACCGGGTCAAGCTGGGTCACCGGGTCAAACTGGGTCACCGGGTCAACTGGGTCACCGGGTCACTGGGTCAGTAAACTAACTGGGTCACCGGGTCACTGGGTCACTCTATGCTTGACCCAGTCCAACTCTGGTGGGCGGAGTGTTAGCTAATTAGCTACTCTTTCCACAAAAAAGCTTTTGTTATTATCTTTCAGGCAAGATGTATTAATAAGCAAAATTTATTGTAAAAAGCTTATTCTTGAAAATAAGTATGATGTATTATACATTTTAGGAAAGCTCGTATACATAACTTCAATTTAAAAAAATCAACTTTGAGTTACAACGCAGTTACTAAAAGAATTAGAAACAAACAAATCGTACAAAAGAAATAGGGCTGAATTTGTGTTTATGAACTTATAACATTAATCCGAATTATAATGGAATTTTGTGATAAAATGGTTACCCAATTTTCGTGTATAATTAGTCGTAATGACAATTATCAGGCTGAAGAACGGAATGAAGCCTGTGAATGCGGTATCTGTTTGCACAGCTTGCAATCTGTTTTATTTTAATAGATTTACTATTCTTAAATGTTTTCTATTTTTTTAATGGTAGAACCTAGATTTTAGCGCATTTTTAAACTTATGTTGGAAGGCGCAATTATGACCACTTTCTCCGTCCGTCCATGCGAGGGCGCCACTGCTCCTACAGTTTCCAATATATTTAGTTCGTTCTTCTTGAATTCGGTAGCTCATGACGATAAATGTGCGCATGCGCAATATCAATTTTCTTATTTATTAATATATTTTGCTGAAATTTTCACCACCTTTATAGTAAAGGCAAACATATCGCATATGGTAAAAATCAGGTGTGCGCATGCGCAGACTGCACAATGCCCGCATCTTTTTTTTATAGATATTTTTTGGAAAATTTAACCACATTCTAGTAAAGGCAAACGTCCCATATTAGATATGCGCATGCGCAAACCGCCCAATACTAACTTCCTTATTTTTAATTATAGATGCTTCTAATAACGAAAAACATAGGTCACATAACAATGGACTATGGAAGTCCCGAATAATGCATGAAAAATGCTCGCAATTTACTCGCCTTAGGCCCAAACCTCTTTACTTTTAACTTTTATGTCCACAGTAAGGTGCCTTTTGCGGCTTCGCTCTCTTTTTTTATTACTCTCCCTTGAGCTACATCCAGGGGTGTATTTCCCACAAGGCGGACTAGTTGCGCGCCTAGAGCGGCAAATTCTAGGGGCGGTAAATTTTGGAGGAAACATTTTGAGTATTCACCAGTTTTGGTTTTGTTTAGCAAGAAGCATGAAGCGTAGAGACCACAAATTTAAATATCTGATTGTTTGTTGATGAGCGGTAAATACGGCAACCAGGAATAACACAAGGAAAGGAGTATGTAGCGTTCTTTTCTTACCAATTGATATTCCAAATTTATATTCCTTATATACTTCGAATTTTACTCGTTGATTGTTGAGTGAGAAATAGCAAAGAGGCGCAACTATAATGTAAAATTGCGATACATATTCCCGAAGCTTCCCGTGCCCACAGTCCACAGTGGGAGGGGTGTGAGTGTGTTAGACGTGCGACTCTGATGCTTAAAGGCCACCCAACAACACAAACCGATTGAAAACCAATGAAAGAGCGTTGGACTATAATTTCGGAGGTCGGGTGTTCGAACCTGGATTGAGGTGAATTTTTCATCTGTGGCAGATACCTTAGACCAGTTGCGAGCATTCTGCCGGCTACTCTGAATGACGTTTTTCTGCAGTTTTCCTAATTCGTAAGGTAAATACCGGAGTAGTATAAAACAACTTAATACCTTCTCTGCAGAGGCACCTCTAAAAAGCACTATGCGGGTCACTCTGTAATTGGGCGTAAGCCTGTTGAGGG